AGCGGCTATGTCAGCTTAGGCAGCACACAGGTATTGATGTAGCTTTACTGAAGGCTATCATTATGAGTGGGTGGCCGGATGAGAAGGAGGCAGTACTGGTAATAGTGAGGGAATATTGGTCTTTCAGATATGAGATCGCTGTGCAAAACGGGATCTTGTACAAGGGCCCAAGGTTCATAGTGCCTAGGTCAATGAGAGCAGAGATGCTATTGCGTATACACTCGAGCCATATTGGCAGAGAGGCATGCTATAGACAAGCTCGTGACACGCTTTACTGACTCAACATGCAGGGCGAAATCAAGGACTTGGTAATTGTTCCACCTGCAATGAATATGCAGATTTGCAACAAAGAGAAACAATGATATCACACAAGATACCATCATGTCCTTGGCAGATTGTTAGTATGGACTTGTTCAACTATGCAGGAAAAGAGTATCTAATATTAGTTGATAATTATTCTGACTTTTGGGAAATTGAACCCCTTACGGACTGTTCGGCTGAGACTACCATTAAGGGATGCAAGACTCAGTTTGCACTTTATGGCCAACCAGATAAAGTGATCTCAGATAATGGTACATGTTAGGAAATGACTGTTACCTAACTGGTTGGGTTGGCAATATATAAACCATCAATATATGTTTGTATCAAAACTGTATTGTATAACTTTAAGACTGTATTGCTGTACTGCATCATACTGTGTCCTGATTGGCTAGCTCTGTAGCCAATGTCCCTAAGAGGGAGCTAGAATCATGGCTTATGCTCTCTGCATGATCTCTGCATCATCTTTGCATGATCTCTGCCTGATCTCTGCTACTCGCTGTTGCTCTCTACCGCTCACTGCTGTTTTTTGCTGTATTTGCTCTGTTTGCAAATCCAGAAGAACTGTGAAAGACGTATGGTAAGCAGTCAAGGCAAGATATGACAACTCAGCTAGAGATTTGCCAGAATTGAAGATCGGGGAACAGATTCAGATGAAACCATTGCCTGGAGATCGAACAGGTCGCTGGAAAATGGGTAGCTGCTTACAATAAGTGGCTCCACATTCCTATTTAGTGGATGTTGAAGGTACTTTGTATCATTGCAATTGGGTAGACTTGCGTGTAGCTGAGCAGCCAGATTTTACATATCCTGTGGACAGGCCAGACGTATCTGGTATTACCATGCCACACTTACCCATAGACAATGAGGAATGCACAGGGATGTGGCTTCAGATTAATGTTGATGAGAGCTGAGAGCAAGCGGGTATACCCGATAGCAGTCGAGCGCCGGACACTCCAGTAAGCGGCGAGAAGACCCCAGAGGTTCCAGTGAGATTGGTGAAGCCCATAGTGCAAAGAGAGCCAGTAGGTGCAAGAGGGCCAGTTGTCACTCGCAGCAGCCAATGTTCATGACCACCTGACAGACTTAACTTGTAGAAAGTGTTGATATTGTTCCGTTTTATAATTTGAATGTTTTATAATGTTTTATTATGTGATAGTTGTGTTAATATGAAAAGGGAAGATGATAGAGTTGCTTGCATCGGAACTTTGCATGTTTCACAATGTTTTATAACGTTTATAATGTTTTAATAAGGTTTATAATGTTTTAATACGCAATAGTTGTGTTAATATGAAGGGAAGATGTTACAGTTGCTTGCATCGGAACTTTGCATGTTTCACAATGTTTCATAATGTTTATGTTTTAATAAGTGTTTTATATCATTTTAACACATATATATAATGCTTATAAAGTTAATAAGGTTTTATAATGTTTTAAAATGTGATAGTTGTATTAATGAAAAAGGGAAGATGTTACAGTGGTTATGTCTGCAGTCTTGGCAGGATTAGTTTGAGATGTATTCCCTGACTCTTGAGGAGCTGTCTTCAGATGCTCCTGTGAGGTATTTCCAGGGCCGGATTTTCCTATAGGCTAACTAGGCTTCAGCCTAGGGCCTCAAGATCAAGAGGGGCCTACACAGTGGTGGGATTCTGGGGGTTCTAGGGTAAGGTGACCAGACGTCCCGCTTTTGGCGGGACAGTCCCGATTTTTAGCAATTTGTCCCGCGTCCCGCAGCGTTTCAAAAAAGTCCCGATTTTTCATTCTGCCTCCTCAGTCCCGCTGCCTCTTGAGCCCCAGGTGATGGCTAGAAGAAAAAAAAACTGTTTAAACTCTTGCCGGGGGCTTCAAAGGGCCGCCCTACAGGCAATCAGTGTAAAGAGTTCCTGAAGCAATTTTTTTCCCCCCTAGCTAAGCTGCAGAAACGAAACCGAAACCAGGATCTTTGGTGCAACGTGACAAAATGAGGCAGAGAGAGATTTATTTTTATTTTTATTTTTACTCCCCAAAAAAGGTAGGTGAAAAACTGCAAACAATGGGAAATTTAGGAGGAGAGTTCAAGATTTTAAAACACAAAAGAAAAAAAAGCTGTATTTAACTAGGGAATTGTAATAATTGAGATACTATTAATTGTATATTGTGTTCAAAGCAGAAATGGTTAAGTTGTGGTTCAGAGGAATATATGGGGGAAATTATTTGATTTATTATTATTGGTAAATATAATTAATTGATTTGTAAGAAATTGGATTGCAGGGAAATAATTGGAATATTCATGTTCATATTGATTAATATACAAAAAAGATAGTTTTATAACTAATTGATTTATATTAAAATGTTGAATTTGTATTAAACAACTGTATTACATAATTACATAATTAAACAATGAGGATGGATATAAAAATAGATGACAATGGAAAGGGGTATAATATAGAATAGAAGGGAAAAATTGAATTTGATTAAGATTAGAGATGAGGATGAAGGGTAATATTGGTTTTTTTAAAAAAATAGATGAGGAATAAATATGGCAAAAAGGAAATATAGAAATTGTAAATTTAATTGAAGTGACTAAACACTATTTAAATTTGTGAACCGGCCAAATACTCTGTTCAAAGAAAATAAATTGTATGTTTGTATGTGTGTTTCTAATTACTGCTATTTACTCATATTTGTTCTCTTTTATTCTTTAAAGTTTAACCATTCATTCTTTATCTTAATATCTTTATATTTGTTTGGGGTTGGCTTTCTTCCCTTTCATCTTTTTTATTGTACAGCAATCTTTCTCCTCAAACCTACCACCTCTCTCTTTTCTTTCCTTCTTACTTTCTCTTCCCCCCCTCTTCTTCTCCTCCCTACTTCCTCTTCCTTTCTCCTTCTCCTCCTCTCTTCCTTCCCCTCTTACCCTCACTCCTACTCTAATTTCCCTTCCCTTCCTTCATCCCTCTCTATTGCTGTATCCTTTTATGCATATGGACTACTCAGAGGGCTGAAAAAGTTATTTTTGACTGGTCCTCGCACTTTTGACCAGTCCTCGAACTTACGACTGTCCTCACATTTTACGTTTTTGCCCTATCTTGTCATCATGGTGAAGAAAAGCAGTTGCGAAATGAGTGACATGGTTGTTAAGAAAGCTGCACGGGCATAAATGTGAGGATGGTCATAAGTGTGAGGACCGGTCAAAAGTGCGAGGCCCAGTCAGAAATGACTTTTTTCAGCCCTCTGAAAAAAGTCTATGCACATAGTCACGCCCACCCGGTCACATGATGAGCTAGCCATGCCCACCCAGTCACATGACCAGCTAGCGACGCCCACCCAGTTACATGATTGCCAAGCCACACCTCCAACTAAGCCACGCCCACAGAACCTGTTGTTAAAAAATTGAATCCCACCACTGGTGAAAGGGCCTCATAAGTGGAATAGCCTAGGGCCCCTTTCAAACTAAATCCGGCCCTGGGTATTTCCGGTTCTTATCTTATGTAGATATATACCTGTAATGATGGCTTGTTGGGTGTCCTTCTACGATTAAAACCACTTGAAACAGCGTGGCTTGGTGGGCGTGGTATGGCTTGGTGGGCGTGGCAGGGAAAGGATACTGCAAAATTTCCATTTCCACCCCACTCCAGGGGAAAGATACTGCAAAATCCCCATTCCCTCCCCACTCTGGGACCAGCCAGAGGTGGTATTTGCCGGTTCTCCCAACTACTCAAAATTTCCGCTACCGGTTCTCCAGAACCTGTCAAAACCTGCTGGATTTCACCCCTGGGTAACATCCACTAGCACTGGTCTTACCTAGTTTGGATAATGAATCTGCAAGAAAACAAGGAAGCTCAGAGAGCACCAAGGACCCCGCTTATCTGAGTATTGATTGCTAGCAATGTGAGCGTTCTGGTCTTTTTGTTTCCTTTTTACCTTTTGGAATACAATACAATAGAATAACAAGAGTTGGAAGGGACCTTGAAGGTCTTCTAGTCCAACCTCCTGCTCAGGCAGGAAACCCTATACCATTTCAGACAACTGGTTGTCTAAAAACTCCTAGTGTTGGAGCATTCACAACTTCTGGAGGCAAATTGTTCTACTGACTGTACCTGACAGAACAGACAGTCAGGAACAATCTGTTGTTGTCTCTTTTGAACAGTGTGGGAAAGTGTTTTATCTCCTAGGCCTGTTTTCTGGATGTAGTTTCATACACCATTCAAAAATAATTCATTTATACAACACGGGGAGTAGAAAGGCAAAGGAAAAGAGGCAGCAAAGAGAACATGCTGCCCCTGCCAAACTGCCTCCACTCCAATCCAGATTTCAGGTGCTTGGGAAGGTATGAAAAGGGCATGAAATAGGAGGGTGACGCGGGGTGTGGAGGAGGGGGCAGAAAAAGAAAGTGGGAGGAGAGAGGGGGGAGAGAGAGAGAGGGGGAAGGCGGGAGTGACAAATGCCTGGGCAAGAGCGGAGGGGAGACGACAGGAACCGAGGAAAGCCGCTTAGCTCGGCTCAGGAGGGAGAGAGAGAGAGAGAGAGAGAGAGAGAGAGAGGCGGGGGGGGGGGGGGGGCGCGCGCGAACCTGGGTGAAAGAAAAGGGAGGGGTGAGTTTGAGAGCGAGAGGAGAGCAGAAAAATAAAGGGGAGGGGGGAAAGAGGAGAGACGAGACCAGCCGGAGAGCGAAGTGGACAAACCTGAGACAAAAAAAGAAGAGGAAGCGAAGCTCTCTTTTTTGCCTCTCAGTTTCCCTCCTTTTCCGCCCGCCCCTTTTCTCGGAGCCGCTGCGGCTTCCCGAACGATTGGGGATTCCCGAGCTTCAGGCGATTGGTGGACTCGGAGGAAAGTCCTCCTTCTTCTCTCACCCCCCTCCCTCCGTCGCGAATGAGAAGCGGTACTGATTGCGGGGAGGAAGTTTTGGACCTTTCTCCCTGCCGTAGGCTTCTACACCGCGGCAAGTCCCGACGGGATCTTCAGCAAGGACCGGCTCAGGATTTAGATGGAGCGGAGTTCGGCGGCAGTAAATGCGGTGAAGCGCCTCCGGAGCCAGGCGCCGCCGATGCACAATAACAACCACCACCATCAGCAGCAGCAAGGCCGACGGCGGTGGCATCAACAGCAGCATCAGGAGCCTCCGAAGCAACGCTGGGAAAAGGAAGAAGATGAGAGAGACGGCAAGAAAAAGCCGGCAGGAAGAGGCGCGAGCTCCCTTCCGGAGCTGCTGACGGCGCTCGTGCTGGTCCTCTACTTGCTGGGTCTTCGCTGGCTCGTGCACCTTTCCTTCCAGCAGTTGGTGACGGGGACGAGCGACCCCGCGGAATTCAACGCCCCGCGCGCCAGGTAATTGACAGCCCCGCGCGCTCGTCCCGCCACCCCCTTCCCTCCGCGTGCTGCTAATAGAGGACAGGTCCTTTATCCGCTTGGAATAAGAAGTACCTGGTCCTAGTGATGGGTTTTTTTAAAAATATATATATATATATATATTTAAATTTTATTTTATTGTTTTGCAAACTTGGACTTTTTTACTCTCGCTTGAGCTTAACCCGGTCAGTTTGGCAGTTCCTTCACTAAGTGCTAAATAGCGGCACGTTTCGCTCCGTTACACTCCTCACCTGTGAGAGATAAATATGAAGCCTTTTATTAGGACTCCTACGGGCAGTTGCACCTTGTGTTCTTCCCTGTTGTCAAAGTCCGGATTTTCACCATCGCTCCCGCCCCGCCCTCGTTCTTTGTGAGGATTTAGCGATTGTGGCTTTTGGGTTTTCCCCCCCCCCCTTCATTTATCTCCAAAATGAATCGAGGAGAGTTGCTTTCAAATGCATAGTAACGTTCAGGAGGGTTTCCTATTTTCCCATGCATTTTTGCTAAACGTGAAACTTTGCTGATCGATCTTTGGAGGGAAATTAGGTTTGGGCCAATAGAGTCCTTCAGTAAACCATTAAAAAAAAGGGGGGGTCTCCTGAATTCCTGGTTTTATCTCACCAGCGTTGTAGCTTCTACATCTTGTATGTAAAAGAGGATAGTGGCCTCTCTGACATTTCCAGTTGGGTATAGAGGAATGTATAGATAACCTTAAGGAAGGGATGCAAGAACATTTAAGGCAAAACAAGAGACAGCTCAGCCCTGGGAATGGAGAAGGTGTGAGAAAGAAATTTGAAATAACACTGCTTTGCTTCTGTTTGGTATAAAGGGGCAGAAGGAAGTTGGCAGGCTTTAAAAGATTATTTTTTTATTATACCCTACAATAGTAAAATGCCATTTGTGGAATCCTTGCTCTGTTTTCTGATCTGGTCTGCATCGACAATACGGGCTGGCAGTAAAAGTCTGTTGGTTATTACTTTGATTCAAGACAGAAAGTACAAAAGCCATCTTTTTCTTTATGCTCCTTTGAAAAATTAACTGTATACTCTATTTGGGCTGTGGTGTGAACAGACCAGGAATAAGAAGAAGGTTCAGCCATAGAAATTCACAGGATGAATTTGGGACAGTCACTCTCCTTCAGTCCAGTTCATCTTAGAGTTCTTATAGGAATGAAATGATGGGAAATCCCTATGCATACAGAAGATAGGTAGACAGACAGACAGACAGACAGACAGATCGATCTTTTTGGGAGAAGAGAGTATATAAAGAAATATATCTAAAGTACATAAATAATATTTGCTGCTCAGTACCAAACGTTTCTCTCTTGAAGTTGAAGAGTTTGTATGTGAGATTTATCTATATATGCAATCTATTTATGCAATGTATTTACACAATGTATTTCACAATGTAATTATGAATTTATTATACTCCCTCAGTCCCCAATAGAGGCTCAGATATTACACAATTCTCATTTGAGCAATCCCTGCTGATTTTTCCTCAGGCCCATTGCATGTGCAGAGAGAACTTGAAGAGAAGTAAGATCAGTCAATCTGTATCACTTTGCATGGAGCATTTGTAGAAGCCAAAATGAGCATAATGAAAAGAGATAGAGTCCCTTTCAATATTTAGAGAATAAGAGTACTTCACCATATAGATGAACATGTTTGATTTGGAGTGAATTGAAGCATACATCAAGCCAGTTAAATATTGAATAGCTTTCTCTTTCTTGCAGTGACCTGAATAATGGGAAGAATAACCACACCAGTAATGAATCTCTCTGAGTGGATGTTAGCCTTTTGTAGATTTTTATATCACCTTACCCAATGTTTACTTTTGTATGGGTCATTTGGTTTATTTAAAACTTTGGTCTAAATTGTGCAACCTTCTTTTGATATGGAAACCATATAGTCAATTTAGTACAATGCTGAATAGACAAATGATCTACATTTGCTATTTCTATTTCTTACAATATTTAAGTAAGGCCCATCTTTATATTTTTGAAAGTTATAAAACCAGGAAAAGACAAGAAGTGGCATATCCCTTTTTTATACTATTTCCATTTCTTTAATTCTCTGAATATTTCTTTCTTATATCGCTATACTGAAGTAGATATGGTATCCACATTTTTATACCAACCTGTATAAATAAATAAACATTTTTCTAGCTTTCTGTGAATATTATTTTGCAGGTTACTCTTGACTTTAAAAATAGGCATGAGTAACAAAACCAGTTAAAACATTTATTTTGATCATATTTAAAACAGTAAAGTGAAAATAATAACATACTGTTCTATTGTACTGTTATTTAAAATCATATTGAATGAATACAACACTATAAAAATGCTTGGACACTTTAATGCAGGTGAAGATGTAGTTCCCTGGACAGGTCATGCCATAAGCAGAAAACAGCTAGGATCCACTAAAAGAAGGATTGGTCCTTCTAGCCTTCTAGTATAGGGAAAAGACAGTAAGTTAAATATTGGCAGCAAATGTTAAGTAGTCATTTTTCTCAGATTTCTATGCAATCCTGAAAAAAAGTTATTGTGCCATCAAGGTGCTATCAACTCTTAGTAATTACATGGCTAAATTTTCTTCCTAATCTGGTGCTTCCGATCTTCCAGTTCCCATTGTTCCCATTGCCATGGTAAATGAGTCACTCCATCTTGCTCCTGCTTATCCTCTTAATTTCTTCCACTTTTCCCAGCATTGTCTTCTCCTGAGTGGAAAAAAAGTTGAGGCCGCTTTACTTAGGGAGATTCTGTGCTTATGTGAAGCTCTTCCAAATAATATTCAAAGCTATAAGAAGAACCAGTTCTCCATTATGGGTGGAGACAGCAGCCAGGATGGGGTGTGCTCGTCTGTTCAGGTTGATAGACTGAGCCTGTCAAAGTTGCTAAGTCCCGCCCTTGGTACTGGGCAGACCCAGCTTTTGGTTCAGTCTGTCAGCTTGGAGAGGCGTGTGGGACTGTTCCTCTGGCCAATTTCTAACTGATTATCTATCTTTCCTGTCATTTGAATTCTGATTCTTCTTGATATTACTGGTTTGACTTGGACTGTGATCTGGACTACTCTTGGACTTCGACTACAAACTGTGAGACTTTTGGTCCCCAGTAACTGGCTTGCCTGGTTATCTGGGGAAGACTTCCCTCAGCCCTTTCACTCCCATCCCATCGTATTGCGCTTCAAACGCTGGTTTTCGGGGGTTGCGTAGCTTCGTGCTCCCGTGTGCAGGGCTGCAGGCTTGGTCTCGGTGCCTGAGCTAAATTGGCAGTTGTGGAGTTTTCACGCTCCCCTGGGTATCCTCCGGTGGCCATTTTGAATCGGCTAACGGCCGATAGCTTTTTACTGACTTTTCCGACAGCGCAACGTTGTGGGGCATTAAGAGGCTGATCGGAGCCAGCTAGCAGAGCTTCGCGCTCCCGGCGGTGACAGTTTGAGTGCCTGAGCCGTCCATCTGCTCGGCACCTTGAAGAGGTTTTTTTGCATGCTGCTGCCTGTTTCGGCGTGAAAGTCAGCTGAGGGCGCCATTGCCCTGACCATTTCTCCGCGCCATTTTTTCTGTTTCGCGCATTTTGCGCCAATGAGTTAAGCCATGAGGATCTGGACTCCCTGGCTTTTAAAAAGAAATAGGAGGGGTCTCGTGCCCCCATTGGCAGCATTTTTGGCGACCCAGTGAGGAGAGCAATCCTTGTGGAGCTTTGCGCTCCCCTATCAGCGCAGATCGCACAGGGCTCAGTTCGGCTCCATTAGCGAAAGCCCGATCGCTCATATAATTGGTGGAATTTTCCTTGCGCTCCCATTTGACTTATTATTGCCCGTCCATTTGCCTCAGCGTTGTTTGCGCTAATTTTAGGCCTCCAGGCTTCGGCCTGTGCCTTCTGAGGGCTTATTATACCTGGCCTTGCCCGTCTCTGCAACATTGGGCACTGCTCCTACCCTTTGTCTGAAATTTGCGTGTCAGGAGGTTTCTTCTTTGACTGCCTGTTTTTATTAATTGACTGCTGTGTTAATTGACAGTGCCCAAAGCTTCACATAAGTCGAAGCATGGCCGGAAGGCTGGACGCTCGGAGAGCCCCCATTCTCGGGGGGACTTGCCCTCCAGGAAGGACCAATCTACTGTCCCTTCATCTAGACCGATGACCTCTGATGCTCCTCAGTCGCATCGTAAGTCCTCCTCCCACTTTGCACCCTCCCGTGCTGAGGCCCGCTGGGATAAGTTCTCAAAAGACTATGTGCAAAGGCAAGCGGACACCAGCCTTCTGCCAGGGAGATTAGCGCTGTCTCTTTGCGGGTGGCCACCACATCTGATCCTGGGGCACAAGTTGACCAAGTTTCTCTCCAGGATTGCCCAGTGGTCATACAACCAGACAGTTTGTGGGGCTCGGGGGCTGCTCTAACACCTATACTTCCACCTGAGTCCTCCCAGGCTCCAGGCTCCTTGGTGACTTTTCCCGAGGCAGCTGCTGCGCCTGCCCCTACTGACCAGGGACCTGGAGTTGGGCAGCAGCGCGATTTTCTGTCGCCAGACCAAATCCAGCAAATCATCGCGGCAGCAGTGCAGCAGTCGTTGGCTTCCCAATTTCTACCCGTCAGTAGGGAGGCCTCTATCCGGTCTGGAGTTTCTACTTCTTGAGTGGATGTCCAGCAGGAAGACGCTCTTTCGATCAAAGCTCCGGACTCCCCGGTCTCCTTCGTTGCGAGCCGTGTGTCTTCTCAGGCCGATGAGATATCTCGGGATCTGAATCTGTCAAAAGATGAGGACCTCCCTCCGTTCTTTCGGGGGACGATATTTCGGACCAGCCTGGTCCCACCCAATTGTAGAGACAGTGAACTTTGGTTTGTCCCATCCTGCTGCTGTCTCCACCCACAATGGAGAAGGGGCGTTGGTCCTACCTGAGATGCACCTTCTCATTGGGTGGAGACAGCAGCCAGACCCTCCCTTCGCCAGTCTGGTCTCTATCTCTCGCCTATTTCCTTTCTCTCTTGTTTGGTGTCCCACACGCCGAGCCTGTCTTCTTGTCTTCGCCAAAAGCTGGGTCTGCCCAGTACCAAGGGCGGGACTTAGCAACTTTGACAGGCTCAGTCTATCAACCTGAACAGACGAGCACACCCCATCCTGGCTGCTGTCTCCACCCAATGAGAAGGTGCGTCTCAGGTAGGACCAACGCCCCATATCTCAGTTCCTGTTTAAAAACATCTACAAGTTCCAGGTTTCATGTTCATTTATCAAGGAAAATAGTCCAATAACATTAGAAAAAACTTCCCCACTTGTACAATTTCCTTAACTTTAGAATATTTTGAACCTGAATTATATTCCAGATTGATTTTGTGTTATATACATTAATGCAGTAACTCCACATATGTAATGCTGTGCATATTGAAGGAAAAGTGGTAGTCTTTTATGATAATGTAATACAAAAGTATGTAGGTTTTCTCAATAGTATGACTTTATTCTTATGTATAAATCTGAAGCACAGAAATCAGCAGGTCACATATAAGTATATGAACAGTACGTTGCAGTATTGAAGTCTTCTATAATTTTTCTTGCAGGTAATAGAATGTTACATATGAACCCCATGAACTACAAATCATGAAAAAGTTATTAGAATTATTTCATAGTACATACCAGTCAATTTGATACTTGAGTCAGAATTTATAAGAGCTGTACATTTCACCCATATTTATAGATTGCTGTGTTTTAAGTCACTGATTTTCAATTGGTGCCATATGTACTACTGGTAGGACTCCAAAATAGTTTAAATGGGATATAAATTGTTGAACCTTGAATTGAGTCTTTCAAAACTTACCATACACAATAAATGTAGGGAAAAAACTGACTCTTCTTGTTAGCAAAAGTGGGTAAATTTTTGTTTTTTATAATAATGGGATCTAAATTCTTTAATGGAGTGATTGGTGGGAATTATGAAATATTTTATAATAATTTTCTAAAGTTTTATTTTATATGTCCCACAGGAAATATTTAGAAAATATTACTGCAATTGGTCCAAGAATTGTTGGAAGTCCAGAAAATGAAATTTTCACTGTTGACTACCTCTTGAAACAAGTTAAAGCTATTGAAATTAATCATGCCCATACAATCTCTGTAGATATACAGAGGCCAACCGGCACTTTCAGTATTAACTTTCTTGGAGGATTCACCAGTTATTATGACAATATTACTAATGTTGCTGTTAAACTGGAACCCAGAAGAGGAGCTAAACATGCTGTGATGTTGAATTGTCACTTTGACTCTTTACCAAATACTTCAGGTAAATAGATCAAAGAATTTTACAGGATAAATTGTAATTGTTGAATTCTTTTTAATTCCATTGTGTTTCTAGCCATCAAAGACAGTCACAGCACAGTGAGGTATATCTGTTCTATTCAGTGGTGGGATTCAATATTTTTAACAACCGGTTCTGTGGGCGTGGCTTAGTTGGGGGGGTATGGCTTGGTGGTCATGTGACCGGGTGGGCGTGGCTAGCTGGTCATGTGACCGGGTGGGCGTGGCTATGTGCATAGGGACTACTCAGAGGGCTGAAAAAAGAAGAAGGAGAGACAGGGAAGGAAGAGAAGGGAGGAAGGGAAGGGAAATTAGAGTAGGAGTGAGGGTAAGAGAGGGAAGAAGAGAGGAGGAGAAGAAGAGGGGGGGAAGAGAAAGTAAGAAGGAAAGAAAAGAGAGAGGTGGTAGGTTTGAGGAGAAAGATTGCTGTACAGTAAAAAAGATGAAGTGGAAGAAAGGCAACCCCAAACAAATATAAAGATATTAAGATAAAGAATGAATTGTTAAACTTTAAAGAATAAAAGAGAATAAATATGAATAAATAGCAGTAATTAGAAACACACATACAAACATACAATGTATTTTCTTTGAACAGAGTATTTGGCCAGTTCACAAATTTAAACAGTGTTTAGTCATTTCAATTAAATTTACAATTTCTATATTTCCTTTTTGCCATATTTATTCCTTATCTATTTTTAAAAAAAAAAACAATATTACCCTTCATCCTCATCTCTAATCTTAATCAAATTCAATTTTTCCCTTCTATTCTATATTATACCCCTTCTCATTGTCATCTATTTTTATATCCATCCTCACATTGGTTAATTATGTAATATTACAGTTGTTTAATATAAATTCAACATTTTAATATAAATCAATTACTTATATAACTATCTTTTTTGTATATTAATCAATATGAACATGAATATTCCAATTATTTCCATGCAATCCAATTTCTTACAAATCAATTAATTATATTTACCAATAATAATAAACCAAATAATTTCCCCCATATATTCCTCCAAACCACAATTTAACCATTTCTGCTTTCAAGACAATATACAATTAATAGTATCTCAATTATTACAATTCCCTAGTTAAATAGAGCTTTTTTTCTTTTGTATTTTAAAATCTTGAACTCTCCTCTTTTTCCCTAAAGAGGAACTACCTCTTTAGGGAAAACTACCTTTCCACTAAAGGTAGTTTGCACCTACCTTTTTTGGTGAGGAAAAAGAACATAAATCTGCCTGCCTAATTTTCCAACGTTGCAGCAACAGCAAAGCCAACAGCCTGCTTTACTTTCAGTTTCGTTTTTCAGCATAGATAGGGGGAAAAAAATCTGCACTCTTTGCAAGCAAGCAGCAGAGCCCTGAGCAAAACAGCTGAGAGCAAATCAGCTGAGAGTCGGGAGACTGATAGAATCAAGGGGCTAATTAGCCTATGCTGAAGCTCCGCGGGCCAATAAAATTACAAAAAAACACCGAACCGTTTGTTAAATTGCTGGCTCGCCCGCCCCTCGCCCACCACTATTTATTGGCAATAAATAGTGGTGCGGAGGGGTGGGGCAAGGGGCGGGGTGAGCCAGCAATTTAACAAAGGGTTCGGCCGAACCCCCTAGAACCGGCAGAATCCCACCACTGGTTCTATTCTTACACAAATGTAGTATAATTGAGTACAGTAACTGTTTCAAAATCATTCAAATTGGATTGAGATATAAAATAGTAGTTCTCTTCTGTTTCAGCTTTTTCTGTTGAACTAATTCTCAGCATATTCATTTAAAATTGCATACTGTTTGTATGAACAATATATTATTTTGTTTAATTAAATGTATAATGCTTAAAAACAAATATAACTTATTCATGTGATTAGATTCTTGCAAATATTTATGAATTTATCTTGGCAATTCAAAACATTGTCCCAATTTATCCTATAGAACATTCCAACTGGAAAAAAAAATCACAGTAGCAATTAATGCTGCAAGTCCTTACAGGTCATGGATTTTCTTCTTTTTATTATTATTCCTCCTGAACAATCTTAATTTTGTAATAGTAAATTTGGCAGTGTTGAGTTCTATAATTCAGTTCCTGTTTGTAATGAACAGTAAACTTTTTTTTTACTTTTTTATATTAAATGGCTTATATTTTATGGACAAAAAGTTATATAAAAATGTCAACTTTTTTTGCATAACCGCAGGTCTATTCCCATTTTATTTTATTATTTTCTGAAATATTCCGTTTCCCATCAATCCAGGCACTTTGGAGATAGTTCATCCAGTCTTCTATACTATGATCTTTTAAAATGTTCTATAACACACCAGAGCAACTAGACACAAGAACAGTTTTTTCCCGAACACCATCACTCTGCTAAACAAATAATCCCCTCAACACTCGCAAACTATTTACTAAATCTGCATTACTATTAATCTTCTCATTGTTCCCATCACCCATCTCCTTCCACTTATGACTTTTTGACTGTAACTTTGTTGCTTGTATCCTTACAATTTATATTGACTGTTTCCTAATATGATTTGATTGCTTATTTGTACCCTATGACTATCATTAAGTGTTGTACCTTATTTTTCTTGATGAACGTATCTTTTTTTTATGTACATTGAGGGCATATGCACCAATACAAATTCCTTGTGTGTCCAATCACACTTGGACAATAAAAAAATTCTATTCTGTTCTATTCTATTCTATTCTATTCTATTCTATTCTATTCTCTATTCTATTTTCTATTCTATTCTATTTTCTATTCTATTCTAATTATGTTTCAGCCTCAGGAAATTAGTGTGTAATATATCTTATTATTTTAAGGTGCTAGTGATGATGCTATCAGCTGTTCTGTAATGCTTGAAATACTGCACATACTTGCAAAATCGTCTGAACCTTTGCAACAATCTGTTATATTCCTGTTTAATGGGGCAGAGGAAAGTATTTTACAGGTAAGAAAGCACTGAGTAGATTCTTAATACGTACTGAGAAAACATACAGAGTTTATTCTTTAATGTCAAACTAAAATTGCTATGAAAGAGTACAAAATTAAAGGATTTGACAGATACTTGAATAAAAGTAAGAATTTTTTTTCTTTCCCATCATGGCAGTGAAACTGAGTTTAGTTCTTACTCTTGATTATGTGCACATGTGTGAGCATGTGTTTCATGAAAACACTATTGCAATTAAGAAAAGAATAGTTTGCTCAACAATGGCTAAGGTGTTGACAGTGCCTATTTAAAATGGTCCTGCCCTCTTTGAGTTAGGAAAACTGTTCTATCAAGCTGTTCCTGCGGAAGAACATCAGAACATCTTGAAAATACATAAAGTGGGTATATATTATGTCATTGCTATTGCCTGCCAAGATTAATCATTTAGATTACTCAGTCTTTCAAATGTGCACGTTCTCTTCTCAGACTATGAAAAAGCTGGCCTGCTTTTTTTTTAAAAAAAATTTGATTTATATGCCGCCCTTCTCCGGAGACTCAAGGCGGCTTTACAATGCGTTAAGCAATAGCCTTCATACTTTTGTATATTTATACAAAGTCAGCTTATTGCCCCCACAAACTGGGTCCTCAATTTACCCACCTTAGAAAGGATGGAAGGCTGAGTTGATCTTGACCTTGCTTAACATTTATTAGTGAATTGTTACATCATTTATTCTTTTTACATTTCATGTTGTATAATGTATAAACACATTTAATATGTTTTATTAGTTTTATTAGTTTTTTGATGCTGGCTTGTAACCTAATAAACTTTGAACTAATTAAGCAAGAAAGCCAAGAGAGCAACAAAACATTTTTCCAGAACTAGAATCATCTTTGTGCAATCAGAAAGTATTTCAAATATAATATATATATATATATATATATATTCTGTCCATTGTCTTTACTGTTTAAATCAAGGCTAGTCATGGCTTCATTACACAACACCCATGGGCCAAATCCGTGAAAGCATTTATTAATCTGGAGGCTGCTGGAGTAGGAGGGAAAGAACTTGTGTTTCAGACTGGTAAGATTTTTAATACTGTTCATGAAAATCTTGTGACAATTTCACTTCAAAATCACAATGCCTACGTTTTCAGTTGAAGATCACAATAAGATTTTCATTTCTGATAAACAATGATTTTGCTTTTGTTACTTGCTGTTAGATGTACTTTTTATTGAGTTTTTAAGCCTGGATAATTGTTAAATGATTATTTGTTACAAAACTGTCCCATTGCTATCACAAAGCTTTTATTGTGGCCTTTTAAAAATAGATTACTGTGATAAAGGGGAATTTGAAGTGGATTTTATTGCTTTTATAAATAGATTTATAAAATTTCATTGGCATATTTGGTAATTGGTTTAAATACAGTTGGTATTTGTGAATGTAAATGTGTGTTGAAAAGTGTGAAATGTAAATGAGGAGAGAGAGCTGGCCTCTTTCCAGAAGCCTTTTGTGACCCAGGCCCTGCTTCTCTGGGCTAAATGTTTATTTTCATCTGGAAGTCAGTACTGTTTAGTCTGCACAAATATATGTTCAGAATGGTGGTATCCCAGGCATTGGTGAACTGTAAAATTTATTACTATCGGTTCTGTGGGCATGGCTTGGTGGGGGGGTTAAGGTGACTGGATGGCCATGGCCAACTTTTTTTTAAAAAAAAACTTTTAAAAGCATTTTTTCTACAACCTCTTTGGCCGAAGAGGTTGCAGAAAAAATGCTTTTAAAAGCCTCTGATGATCAGGCAACTCAGCTGGGATCGTTAGAGGCTTTTAAAGGCATTTTTTTCCCCTACAACCTTTTCGGCCGAAGAGGTTGCAGAAAAAAATGCTTTTAAAAGCCTCTGACGATCCCAGCTGAGCTGCGCAATCATCAGAGGCTTTTTTTTTTACTTTTAAAAGCATTTTTTCAGCCAAAGAGGTTGTAGAAAAAATGCTTTTAAAAGTAAAAAAAAACAGCCTCTGATGATCGCGCGGCTCAGCTGGGCATAGGGGGGGCCGCAGGGACTTTTGCTATTGGTTCTCTGAATCACCTGCCGCCATCGCTACCGGATCAGATGATCCAGTCCGAACCCAGAGCATTTCACCCCTGATCCCAGGGCTATATCAGTCTGTGAGAACTGACATGACATTCATTTCTGTTGTATGACATTCCTGCAGCTTGATGGAAAGTGATCTGCCAATATTAACAGAATTAAACATGAAAGAGCTGAAGCTTTAGCTACAGTTTAACATCAACCTGATCTCAGCTTTAGGCAGTTTATAACCTAAGAAAGGCATTAGAAACACATCTGGGTGTAGCAAATATTTGGTTGCTTGCTACAGAAATTTATATAAGGAAGATTCTTCCTTACCTAAACAGCCATCTGAGTGGCATACAACATTTGGGTCAAAGTATTATCTTGGAGGAGTTTTAAGACAGCTTGTACTAATTCATTGTTAGGAAAAAGACATTTTAATGGCTGTTGCAGTTTCTTGTGGGATGGAAAAATCACTATATATTTAACTGGGTTCAGTTGGATTCCACTCTACGTTCATTTTTGGACTTTGGCTCTTTTAGCAAATGCCATGACTTTCAGTTTTTGGAAATTATCTACCAGCCTATTCAGTTTGCAGTGCTGAACTACAGAGCTCATTGGCATTCTAAGTTGCATTGGTGAGCAGGAGATAAGGCCTACATCATCTCCATATAGGACTATTATTTTGGGAGTGTAATAATCTGTGTTAGTCACTGTCTCAGTTAGAGAGTTAAAGAATATTAACAAAGTAGGGCCCAAAATATATTCATGACACATTTGTATGAATATCGCTTCTGAAAGCAGCCCTTGGTTATTATATCTAACTCTGAGGAAGGAGTTGGCATATGAATTTTTGATCACACAAAGAAGATTCATGTTGGTATTCCCGATATTATCCCACAGACTTTCTAATTGTAGAGTCAAAGGTAAATAGAAAGTCCCAAAATGCCACAAATAAGGTTGATTATATAAATTATTCCTGGATAAAATGATGTAATATCAAAATATGGTATACACTGACTGACTATCTCAACTTGTTTGTCCCCTATAATTTCCCTGGATTTCATCCAAATGTAAAGTTTAATACTCACGTTCTTTGCATATAACTTGCCTGGGATATGTATTAAGATAAGTTTGTGATTAGTGAGGTTTTCCTCATTTTTTTAGAAATAGGAACATTTATGGTTATCCCAATCCTTAAACAACTTCTCTATTGAAATTGAGCACAGCATACAAAGTTTCATAATATGCTTCCCGAGTTTGAGTCCTGATTGGCCCTGAGCAGAAATTCACCCAAACCGAGAAGTATTCCTTTTCTTGACAGAAAGGATGTGTTGTTGCTATGCATCTTTCATAGTCTTTAGCTTCTTCTCCCTAAGGATTGATTCATATTGTGATTTGAGATCTTACAAAATTTTACAAATGGCCTAAGATGATAACATTTATAAACAACATAGATGACTTTAATTTTCCTTGTGAGCAGCTGACATTCTCAAACCTTTGTTGATCTTAGTTGTTCCTCTTGAATCAATTTTGCCGATCACCAATCATACAACTGGAAAACTTGTGGTCAATTGACAAATAAATTGAGCAAATTTCTAAAACATCTTTGATGTTTCATCTTCAGCCATTGAGTTGTGGCATTAGCATTTTTTTTACTACCTTTGGGTCATGGTAGAGTGTATCCTCTGAAAAGCTACTCTCAGGTATGTCACGTTAAATGTGGGAAAGGGAATGGGACAAAAGGAATTTAAAATTCTTGTGAATTTGCTTTTGAAATCATATTTAGAATCAAAGCCATGCGTTTTGCTTATGGTAAAGCATAAATTAAAATATAGAACGCTAAATTAAAGTTTATTTTTATTTCACTTCTCTTAATTCTCTTAATTCTTACAGGACCTGAAAACCCTTGGCTGGTACAGGCATACATCTCTGCTGCAAAGCACCCTTTTGGTTCTATCGTGGCTCAAGAGGTGTTTCAGAGTGGTGTCATCCCTGCAGACACAGATTTCCGTATTTACAGAGATTTTGGCAATGTTCCAGGTGTGTTAGATAGGCTTAATAGGATCAGTAGCTTTTGGGCCTATACTTGGAAGAACAATGAAAAATAGGTAGGAGGATTGTCAAGCAAAGAAAAGCTTGTGAACAGAGCTGTCCAATGATGTTCATGTCTAATGTTGATGTGCACATTGCAGATTTTCTGAACCAAGGAAGTGGTAAGGTAATGAAGGTGGGATTACAAAGACAATGGTTTTATTAAGAATGGTGAATTGGACAAGGAGAACCTCCCTTGTTCCCCATTATTGCTGGGCCAGTGCATTCTGAGCTAATGTTGGTTTAGCAATAGCAATAGCACTTAGACCTGTATACAACCATAGTGCTTTATAGCACTCTCTGAACACTTTACAGTGTCAGCATATTGCCCCTAACTATCTGGATCTTCATTTTACTGACCTCGGAAGGATGAAAGGCTGAGTCAACCTTGAGCCCCGTCAGAATCAAACTCCATGCTGTGGGCAGAGTTTACCTGCAGTACTGCATTCTACGCTGTCAGCTTTACCAACCAGAGTAATAAAGAACTGTTTATTAATATTTTTCTGAAACATTTTCTGAAGCCACCATGTGAGGAAGCAAGAAAGAAAAGCATAAATACTAAGCACACAAACAAAATTATGAAGCTGTAAGCAAATATTGAAATATGATTGTTTAGTAGAAAATTTCATAGCAATAACACTTAGACTTACATACTGCTTTACAGCCCTCTCTAAATGGTTTACAGAGTTAGCATATTGCCCCCAACAATCTGAGTCCTCATTTTACCAACCTCTGAAAAATAGAAAACTGAGTCAACCTTGAGCCTGGTGAGATTCAAACTGCCAACTGCTGGTAGCCGGCAGTCAGCAGAAGTAGCCTGCAGTACTGCATTCTAACCACTGTGCCACCATGGCTCTTCATAGTTAATTTAACTTTACTTGTCAAATAATTAAATTTAGTTAGGAATACTTTGTAAAGTTACATTACAAAGTTATATTAAATAACATGATTTAATTTAATTATACTGACAGGAATAGATCTGGCTTTCATTGAAAATGGTTACATCTATCATACAAAATATGACACGGTGGATCGAATTTTGACAGATTCTATTCAGAGAGCAGGTAAGTATTTTCAGTTTTTAATGATTTCAATGGCAAGGCAAGATTAAATTATTGTTCCTCTTAACGAAAATTGAAATTAATAGACCCAAAATCTCAGTATCCTAAAGATAATGCTTTGAAAATAAAAAGTTTATGGATAAATGTAACTAGGTAAATTAGTTTTGCTTCTCCTATATTAAGGAGTTTGGGTAAAGTTAATTGATTTTAATTACTACAAACAATTTAGATATGGCTTACTTTTATACACGTTTCCTTGAAATTTCCCCTGGTTATGTCTTACTTGTTTCTTTATCATTATTGGCCCTGCAATATACTAAATTATTTCTCTATTTATATTAAGGTTTTGTAACTACCGTGTTTTTCGCAGTATAAGACGCACCTGAGTATAAGATGCAGCTTAGTTTTTGGGGAGGAAAATAGGGGGAAAAAATCTGCCTACCAGGTATTCATCTGGCTAACGTCCTTAGTCTGGTCAGCTTCAGCACATTAGTTTGCTAGTTTTGAGCATGTGCACACACATACTTTTTATCCCCAGCTTGGGGATAAAAAACAGCTTCTAAAGCACAACTGGAAAGAGAAGCAATGAGAAAAGCAGGCAAAGCATGGAAATCTCTTCACTTGCTAGCGCCTCGTTAGGACCAGGGCTGGATTTTCCTATAGGCTAACTAGGCTTCAGCCTAGGGCCTCAAGATCAAGAGGGTCCTACACAGTGGTGGGATTCTGGGGGTTCTAGGGTAAGGTGACCAGACGTCCCGCTTTTGGCGGGACAGTCCCGATTTTTAGCAATTTGTCCCGCGTCCCGCGGCGTTTCAAAAAAGTCCCGATTTTTCATTCTGCCTCCTCAGTCCTGCTGCCTCTTGAGCCCCAGCTGATGGCTAGAAGAAAAAAAAACTGTTTAAACTCTTGCCCGGGGCTTCAAAGGGCCGCCCTACAGGCAATCAGTGTAAAGTGTTCATGAAGCAGTTTTTTTTTCCCCTAGCTAAGCTGCAGAAACGAAACCGAAACCAGGATCTTTGGTGCAATGTGACAAAATGAGGCAGAGAGAGATTTATTTTTATTTTTATTTTTCCTCCCCAAAAAAGGTAGGTGAAAAACTGCAAACAATGGGAAATTTAGGAGGAGAGTTCAAGATTTTAAAACACAAAAGAAAAAAAAGCTGTATTTAACTAGGGAATTGTAATAATTGAGATACTATTAATTGTATATTGTGTTGAAAGCAGAAATGGTTAAGTTGTGGTTCAGAGGAATATATGGGGAAATTATTTGGTTTATTATTATTGGTAAATATAATTAATTGATTTGTAAGAAATTGGATTGCAGGGAAATAATTGGAATATTCATGTTCATATTGATTAATATACAAAAAAGATAGTTTTATAACTAATTGATTTATATTAAAATGTTGAATTTGTATTAAACAACTGTATTACATAATTACATAATTAAACAATGAGGATGGATATAAAAATAGATGACAATGGAAAGGGGTATAATATAGAATAGAAGGGAAAAATTGAATTTGATTAAGATTAGAGATGAGGATGAAGGGTAATATTGGTTTTTTTAAAAAAATAGATGAGGAATAAATATGGCAAAAAGGAAATATAGAAATTGTAAATTTAATTGAAGTGACTAAACACTATTTAAATTTGTGAACCGGCCAAATACTCTGTTCAAAGAAAATAAATTGTATGTTTGTATGTGTGTTTCTAATTACTGCTATTTATTCATATTTGTTCTCTTTTATTCTTTAAAGTTTAACCATTCATTCTTTATCTTAATATCTTTATATTTGTTTGGGGTTGGCTTTCTTCCCTTTCATCTTTTTTATTGCACAGCAATCTTTCTCCTCAAACCTACCACCTCTCTCTTTTCTTTCCTTCTTACTTTCTCTTCCCCCCCTCTTCTTCTCCTCCCTACTTCCTCTTCCTTTCTCCTTCTCCTCCTCTCTTCCTTCCCCTCTTACCCTCACTCCTACTCTAATTTCCCTTCCCTTCCTTCATCCCTCTCTATTGCTGTATCCTTTTATGCATATGGACTACTCAGAGGCCTGAAAAAGTTATTTTTGACTGGTCCTCGCACTTTTGACCAGTCCTCCAACTTACGACTGTCCTCACATTTTACGTTTTTGCCCTATCTTGTCATCATGGTGAAGAAAAGCAGTTGTGAAATGAGTGACATGGTTGTTAAGAAAGCTGCACGGGCATAAATGTGAGGATGGTCATAAGTGTGAGGACCGGTCAAAAGTGCGAGGCCCAGTCAGAAATGACTTTTTTCAGCCCTCTGAAAAAAGTCTATGCACATAGTCACGCCCACCCGGTCACATGACGAGCTACCCACGCCTACACAGTCACGTGACCAGCTAGCCACGCCCACCCAGTCACATGATTATCAAGCCACACCTCCAACTAAGCCACGCCCACAGAACCTGTTGTTAAAAAATTGAATCCCACCACTGGTGAAAGGGCCTCATAAGTGGAATAGCCTAGGGCCTCTTTCAAACTAAATCCGGCCCTGGTTAGGACTGAAAAAAAGCTTCTAAAGAACAGCTGAGAGTCGGGGGGGAGAGTGTGTCTTATACTCTGAAAAATATGATATATTTTTAAAACTCAGGCCCTCAATATATTGAATTTTATCCAGCCCATTTAATTTTCCCCTTTCAATTTTTATTTGTTTTGCGAATTTAAAAAAAAATCAAATTCCAATTGTTTCATGATATAATATTAATGAAATGGTGTGCTGATATACTTAATAAAAGACAAATCCTTAATATATACTATTTTTCTCCCCAAGGTGACAATATCTTAGCTGTGCTAAAATACTTAGCAAACTCAGATATATCAACCAAATCTCAGGAGTATCGACACGGAAATGTTGTCTTCTTTGATGTTCTTGGCATGTTTATTTTGGCTTACCCAGCTCGTGTTGGTGCCATTATGAATTGCATCATTGCGTCAGTTGCCATGCTTTATCTCGGCAAAAAAGTTCTACAGCCAAGAAAAAGAGGTAAGTTCATTTCATGTTCTGTCCCACACAGGCATTACCCAGGAATATTGTTTTATTTAAGAATAAGCAACCTTATATAAAATATAGAAAAAGAAGTAGGGAGTAAAATACATTAGAAGCAGGAGTTAAAAGTAAAGGAAAACTAAGTAAACCTTGTTTGCATACTGTGCCATATGGATTTCGGGGCCTGGCAAAGCCACTGCTTTTGGAGATGTGAACCAGACATTGGAGTGAGGAGAAAGAGAAAAAAGAAATTTAGCTTTGACAACTCTGCTGTCATAAGGCTGATGAGCTGATCTGCCTACTAGGACCTCCTCAATTGCTATGGGACATGTTGCCAGTTTAACCGAAAATTGGAGATAGAGAGTAAGACAAGGAAGAGAGGAAGAGGGAAAAAAGAGTAAAGTTTATAGCTGGAGCAACCAGAGATGCTGGAAAGAAAAGGATGAAGAGAAATTGGAGAGTAAATCAAAGAACTGAATTGAAGGGCAAGTGTTGGTTCCTGTTTGGGGAGAGGAAAAGAACAATCTAGGGGTTGCTTCCCTAGAAGTCAGGAAACAAACAACCAGAGTCCCAAGATCTTGGAGGACTAGGAGGAGTGTGCCTGGTTGCAAGAAGTAGCTTCACCCACGATTGGAAGAAACAGAGGCAATCAGCTGCTGGTAGGAAAGCTCTGGTTTTGGAGGAAATCTGGACAGAAGACGCTGAGAGAGATTCTTCCCCCTATAGAGGAATGGAAGGTGTTAAGTTGAGATGGGAAAAAGTCAAGTGATACTACGAACACTCCAGTAATCCCAGCCAATTCCTTTCTTTTCTTGTTTCTCACTAATCAAGTCCAAAGGGAAATGGAGAGAAACAGGGAGAAAGCAGGGGAGGTTAAGGGGAATGGTCACTGAGTAGGGAGACACAAAGTCAGAACTGTGATTTATACCCGTTGTAAATTCCTGCTGAAAATAATCTGTATAAAGTCAAAAGCATAAGGCCTCTTCTACTGTTCTGTGTTTCTGTGTCTATTGCTGCCTTTGCTCAGAGATAGACCTCCAGTTCAGAATTAAACCCTGTTACGCTATAACACATAAATGACACCCAATAAGGGGCTAATTATCCCCTTGTTAAAGGGTCAGTTGTTAACACAGAGCATGGATATGAGACAAGGAGGAGTGTTTGCCAAGCTGCAAAATCTAAACGGACCAGTTACCAGAAATTTGCTAAGGCATTGGGGGTGGGGGGGGGGTAGTAAAGGTTTGTAAATGGAAGAGCCAATGCAAAGCATACAGGAGGTGCTACATGGGCAGTGATAACATCTTGTGAGAAGACAGGCTGTCTGCAAAGTGGCCAGTATATGGGCTGCTGCCGCCCTGTTCCATTAAGATCTGAGGGATCCTTGGTGCTGTCTGAGCTTGTTTGCTTTCTTGCAGATGTTTCATTACCTAAAACTACGTAGCATCATCAGTGCTAGTAAGAAGTGGGGTTTGCTCTCAGTTTAAATTCTAGTGGCTTTTCCTGATATATATATATATGTATGTATGTATGTATGTATGTATGTATGTATGTTTGTTTGTTTGTTTGTTTGTTTGTTTGTTTGTTTGACTTATATGCCGCCTTTTCTCCACAAGGACTCAGGGTGGCTCACAGCAATAAGCAACAAGTCCAAATTAAAATTCAAACAATAAAAGAATCTAAAATTCCTGTTAAAACCCCTTCAGTCCAGGCCAGCCTGGCGAAACAACCATGTTTTAATGTCACGGCGGAAAGAGCGAAGGTCGGGGGCCACCCGGAGCTCCAAGGGGAGCTGATTCCAGAGGGTAGGTGTGCCTACAGAAAAGGCTCGCTCTCTAGGGGCCGTCAACCGACATTGCTTGGCCGACGGAACCCCAAGTAGGCCCTCTCTGTGTGAGCGCACCAGGCGATGGGGAGCTGTTGCTGGCTGCAGGTGATCCGCCAGATACCCCAGGCCTAAGCCATATAGGGCTTTATAGGTAATCACCAACACCTTGAACATATTGTTGGCAGACGTTCTTTGGTTGGGCTGTTTACTGTTGGCTTGTTTGGCAGTTCCTTGATTGGGGTATTGTTTACTTGATTGTTGGTTTGATGTTAATCTTGGAGTTAATCTATGTTCATCTGGGTGCTGATTGCTGGTGGGGAGGTGTTTTGGTCTTTTTGTTTCCTTTTTTGACTTATTGATTGTCTCTTTTGCATGGTATGTAGATATTGTTTATATCTATGTGTCTATTGATGGTTAGTTTGTCAGAAATTCCCTGGCATTTTTGGACTTGGCTTGGATGGTCACAGTTCCGCAATTGAAACTATGGTGGTTTCTGAAACTAAAACATCCTGAAGCAGCCTAAGGCACATAGAAGATTTACTGTTTTCAGAACTAGGGCTCACAAAGAGAAGTAGTAGAGGAACAAGAGTTGTTGTAGTAGTTTTAGGGAAGAATGGTATAGTAAGTAGTGAGTGCTAGCATGTGGGTACTTGTAGGTGTATCATCTAGAGGCCAGGTGGGGTTGTGTTGGCTTTCTGGGGTTTTGGAGCCCACTCCCCTGTATATAAGAACCAGTGACACATCTCAAAGGAAAGAGAGGCAACAGTGAGAGAGTATGAGCCAGGAGTGATTCTCTGGAGGAGTCTGAACAGAAATGAAAGAAATGAGAAAGAAAATTTGAAAGCCAAGAGGGAGCTTTCAAGTAGCTTGTGCAGAAACTGAAAAAGGAGGTGTGGACTGCTTGGAAAAATGTTGGAAAGGGAGGATGTATCTGAGGACAATGTGGGGGCTGAAGCCATATCTGTACCAGTGTAATTATATGGGACAGGGGTGGAGGAAGATGTTCCACAGGACTTTCTTGCTATGTTTGAACAGATGTCAAAAACAAAGTACTGGACAAAAAGGAACATGATGGGTAGATTAGTTGCATGTTTGATAGTTACCAGTACTTAACAGGGTTATGATGGGTGGCTAGATTAACTTTGTGTTGCAATTATGAGTGTTTTAAGATGGAGATTATGGTGCTGTGAAGATGGCAATTCTGCAGCACTTTGAGGTCAAGCTTAGAGGTAGGCTTTCCAGAATTTCATAAAACTCTAACTCTAACCCTAAGGGAGACAAAGGGACTTTAAGCATGGCAGTTCTCATTATATGTAGAAAAACGTCATGGAAGCAAAGCATGTCTAAAGAACAAGGTGCAAACAATTAATTAGACAAGATCTCAAAGAACTGCACAGTTCCTGGTCATGGTCCCAGGTAGGATGAAGTACGCTCCTATGCTGGCTCAACAATCCAAAGCATCCTTGGGAACGCAAGGAAAAATCTCCATTATAGGACTGGAGGTGTGGGCCTGAAAACCACTGCCATGTGAAGGGGTGTGTGTGTCAAGGATTTTCTGCATGATATCATGTTGGGAATGGACATCCTTATCACTTAAGGGAATGTTGGTTGGCATGCCAGCTGCCTCTTCAAGCATCTTAGGTGAGCCCCCTCCACCCTCACCTAGCAAGTGTTGGTTCATGTTTGGGGAGAAGAGAAGAACAATCCAGAAGTAGCTTCCTGGAAGTCAGATGGTGAAGATCCAAAGGCATGAGTTCCATCCAATAAATGCTGTGAAGGATCCAGCTGGTTGTGGGTGGTGCCTTCACCCAAGACCTTGGAAAAGACAGACGGGTGCTGGAAGAGAAGCCCTGGTTTTGGTGCAAAAACTAGGCAGAGGATCCAGATAGGGGTTCACAACCCCTCTTCAAACCTTATTCCCTCAAGCCATACTTTCTTCCATTACACCCATATTACAATTTATACATTTCCCAGAGGTTTATAATTTCATTTTCTGTTTCTGTACCTCCACTGGAGGAAGTGAACAGAAGAAGCTACTTTTAAACTGCAGACTGTAGACAGGAAAAGTATATAAAAGTAAGAACAATTTGGGAAACCCATGAAAAAGAAACTAAGAAATTTAAGCTTTGATAATAGTTCCTTGCATCAACTAAGCCTTTATACATTTTCCCTGTCAGTTATTTAGCATGAATATGATTGAAGTTAGGATTGCCTGAGTTTCTGAAACAGGTCAGAGTAAGGATAGTGGTACATGCACAGAAGTTCAGTTTGTTAGTCTGCAATGTAGGATCTGCAGACTAACAAACTGAACTTCTGTTTGTATCCACAGTTAGTTGGGGACACAACTTACCCAGATTAGTAAATATATAGACATTGGCCTATTACGATTATTGCCTTTCTCCTCTCATAACCTTGATATGATGCTTTTGATGGCGTATGTATGAAATGCTTCTTGGTCTAGAAGAAAAGATAATCGGTAGAAATGCATCTTAGAGAGTAAGTAAAAAATACTGAGTTGAGAGCCATGGTACTAAGCAAAATGAAGTTTTCTGCTAATTTTAATAAGGCACAACCTGCTATATACTGTATAGAAGCAGTTTCTTCCATAAAAGAGTAAAAGCCTTGCCATGTTGCAATTAAGTCCAATCAGAAACACAGTGACTAGAATACAAAAAGGTAAAATATATAGGGCAATAATTTGCAATTCAGTCATGAAAGGAAAAAGCTTTGTGGTTTTTGTTGCCATTTTTATTTTACCAGGAACCACGTCTTATTACTTTAGTCTTCCTAAAAGAAATGGAACGGTATGTCTCTGATTTTAATATTCTTTTCCTTTTCTCCCCCAGCAATTAATTATCTGAAGGAATTTGCCGTTGCTTTAGGCTTTATAGTGCTTGGTGTCTTTGTCACCTTGACTGGCATCCTTCTTGTGGCAACGTTTATTTCTCTTATTGGACAATCTCTTTGCTGGTATACCCACTACTATGTCTCCTATTTTCTCTACGGATCTGCAGCTCTGGCTACACTGATTTTTGTGCATACATTAGCCAAGAAATTTTATTATAAAGTAAGTACTATTATGTTTTATTACATGATTGAATTTAGCAATGATTATTTTCCTTCCATAAATATAAAGACCTCTGTTAGATGAGTCAGACTGCTCAGTAAAACTCTTCTCTAGGCAGAAGTCTATCCCAACTTTCTCTTATTTGGTCCTTGTTGATTAAATGTTTTGATGTTTCCTCTAAATTCCTTAGCGAGGCAAAATTTTCAAGTGAACTTCATTAGAACACAAAAATTGGCAGTTCTCGGACTATGTGAATCCCAGATCATTTTGATCGCCCTTTGACCTTCTCAAAGTTGGGCTAGCAGAATCCAGGGATAAAATTGTGATCTTTGACAGGATGATGCTGACCCTTTCTTAATAATTTAAACCCTACTTCTAGTACATCCACACTTGTTCAAAAATGTGATAAGATTCTGGAAAGCTGCCCTTCTGTTTCACTTAGATTCCTCTTTATACTTGCTTTTTCAAAGACTTCCTTTTGCATCCCTTGTATTTGTAATCAGAAGTAGTAGACAATTTCTGGTTGGGACAGCTCCTGTTTCCACAGGAAGTGGAACTTTGTATATATTGTGTATTAAGAAGCAATTTTCTGCTTTTAAAATGCCTGATGCATTGACTTCAAATTTAAATCAAAGAGAATTGACATTTTTATCTTGTTTTTCTTTTCCCAGCATACAAATGAACAGTTCCTAGGAGAACTCTTCTTTGATGTCCCACTTGCAGTTTGGTCTATTTTAGGGCTTCTGCTTACTTACCAGGGAATTTCCTCTGCATATCTTTGTGCAATATGGGTAGCTTTTCCACTCCTCACAAAACTAATGACTTATAAGGAATTGAAAGAAAAAGGTATGGCAACAAGACTTATCCCCATAAGTTCTGGTAATGCAAGGGTGGGCATCTTTATAGCTGAGACAATATTTTTGTGAACTCTGAGAGCTGATGTTGTAAATGGTGATGATAATGTGATGTCTTCAGTCTGGTATTTTCAGCCCCTTTTGGAACACTTATGGCATCTATTTTGTTCTTAAAACCTCCCAACCCTCCCCATGGGAATTATTAGCCCAATTTTGGTGATTTTATTTAAATAAGATGCTATAAGATACGTAAGATGCTATAAACTTTAAACAAGGTTTATAGTATTCACATTTAGTCCCTATAAAACTCTAAATTGGCAAAAGAATTTTGGCGTCAGCTACTCCAGTGTATTCCAAGGCCATAAGGAGGTACTAGGAATTTTACACTTGCTATAAGCCATGAGGCCACCAAGCCAAAAGCAGCCCCTGATGTAATTTCGTTTCATGTAGTTCTCGTGTCTGACAAGAACGCTTTATGCCCTTCTCAGATGTTCTTATCTTGCACTCTTCAATATGCCATTTTACCTCAGCCTTTGGATCATGTCATCCCTGGAACTGGGAAAGAGGAAACAGAGAGAAATCTTCACTGCTTCTGCCCAATTATTTCATGGTTTAATATAAGAGAGTGTCTTGGCAACTTGGTTCCTAATATAAAATAGGAAAAGGCAATCCAAATGTCTTATAATCAAAGATCTCTAGCCAGGTTGACTGATTTTTGTGAGAGTTCTATTTCTTACACAGCCACAGTTATCGATTTACAATCTGCCCCTTATGTGACATGGAAATGGTCCAGAGGAATTCAGCAGAAATTCTTGGTCTTCATCTCCAGAGGTGCCTCTGTAACAGCTGTTACATCAAACCTTTTGAAACCAACACATCTCATTAAATCCAAGAATTTAGTATCAGGGCTTGGAAAGGGTGCAGTCAAAATTCCCAAGAAAACTAATCCAAATGGTGAAATATGTGCCTAGGTTTGCCCTGAGGTTGGAGGCAAAACTTACAAAACTTGAAATAAGGACATCACTTGTATGTTCAAGTACTCACCAATAGTTCATTTCCAACTTATTGTCTGACACAGTTAACATTAATTGATAAATACGATTCTTCCTGAAAACTCTAAATTGACAAATAATTATATGAAACTGGATTTTTCAACCAATTCGTGCTCTTGGGACATGATCAGGTGATATCAGTCCTTAAGCAAAGGATCCTTGATAGAAAACAGAATATCGTAAACTCTCAAAAGTGTAGAACTGGAACATATCAACAGCGCATGCTTCAAAGCAGCCTTTGAAATACCTAGTCAGGTTAATAAACAATACATTTCAGCCAGCAATTATGTTGTTATGGCTCAATATTCTACTATCAGCTAGATAGAAGATTTCATTTCATTTCATATGCAGAAAGACTCCATCCTTAAGAAGATGGTAACATTGAAACGCAAAGTCATATTCTGTTGTAACTTTTACCATAAATATGTTTATCATAAACTTTTACTAACATGCTTTTATTGGCAAAATAAGATCTCACGGTAACTCTGACTGTTGCAACATTTGTTTTTGCAACGTATAAAACTTGCACATGGTAGACAGCAAATTACAGCTAGTCCTGGAGTTGCCACTACTATTGGGACCAGAATTTTCATTGTGGTCAAGTGACTGGACCCAATTTTACAACCATTTTATGATGGTTGAAAGTTAAATTGCATGACTATAAATGCAAATCCAGCTTAACCAATGTCAGTTTTTTTTCCGGAAAGTGTCCAAAAAAGGTCACACATTGTGATCATGTGACCACAGGACATTATGACCAATTGTAAATGCAACCTAATTGCCAAGCTCCCAAATTATGACCATGTGACCATAGGCGTGGGGCAGTGGTAATAAATTCAAATTTATATTGTAACTTTTTTGGAGGCAACATTAATTCAAGCTATTGTTAAGCAAACGGGGGTAAGTTGAGGACTACCTGTAAATGATTTTATTTGATTTTATTTGATTAAATGGAATTTGATCCTACAGAGCAAAACAAATATTTAAATCAACCTACAGAAATATTAGGCATTTCCCCACATTTGTTGGCTGATTAGATGTTCAGTACAACCAAGGTGCTATGAGTTCAAATGAGTGGAATAAAACAGCAATAAACACAGATCTTCAAATAAATAAAAGTGTGATTTCCTAATAGGTGTGCCTTCTGGCACAGGTTATATGCATACTGTATGTTAAGTCTCTTTAAAGCAAAGTCTTGTAAAGCGATTCACATAACAATACATATAAAGCTACAACACTATGTAGACATTTAAAACAAACAATTTAATGTGGGAATATCAATCATGTAGTTCAAGTTATTTACTTCCTAATATAGCCTTTAAATTTTTTGTACATTTGAATTAATTCTATGTTGCATTTAAAGTAATTTAAATTTACAAACTAGTTTCAGTAGCAACTTCTTGGATTGAAAAGGCATATTCCTAACCAGGTGAAGAACACTCTATGCCCTTTTTTGGCAGCCTTCTGCATAGAGAGAAGAAATAGGAAGTTGGAAAGAAAAAAGGAAAAACAAAATTGTCAAATTAAAAAATGTACTAGGAATCATATTTACCAATTTTGAACATTGGCATTGCACAATTCTTGTTTATCACCCTTAAAATATGTAAGCTTAGGTATCAATGTTCATACTTTCCTGCTCATCCTTTTAAAATTCATAATTGGTTATTTATACCATAATTGGTTTTGAAGAAAATTGAATGAATTATTTATAATTAGTTCTCGAATATGTTTTAAAAGAGTCTGTGTTACTTTCTAAAGGTCAGTTTGGTCATGCATGGTCATCACAGCTTATTCAAATCAGTTGTTAAAATGTACATGTAAAGTAGCTAAACTATACTAAACACCACGGATATATCCCTTCTAACTTGGCTTTTAACTGGAAGCAAAAACAAACAGGTTCAGTGCAGATAATTTATTGAGTGATGTTGCAAATGATACATATCTTTCCCAATTTACTTGCATTTTGCTGTTGTTGAGACTCCAATGTGGCTCTCAATGTTTGTTCCAGTTTCCCTGAAAGTAAGTTCCACTCAACTCAGTGTACCAGGAAACAGACATACCAATTTATAGAAATGCAAAAATTTGTTTCATGGGCTGTTTAGAGGGTGTTCTGTTCTGGCCAAAAGAATAATTCATGCTATGCTGAAATAACATACTATACCAAATTTGTACCCTCAATTATCAAATCCCTTCTTATTTATCAATCAGAAATAAAGAACCTTGAATTAGCCTTCTTCTTCCACACAATTACTGCTCTCTTTTCAATTTAACTTAAAGAATGCATGAATTACAGACTTGGTCTTTTGTGCCTTGATGCCTTGATGTACAGACTTGCATAAATAGCTGGGGTTTTTTTGTATGATTAAAAAAACCTGGTTGATCTACTTTTTAAACCATTCTTCATGTGATCGAATGAGTATGTAAAATAAATATATCTGCCAAAAGCCAATCTTTTGGCTTTCAGATGAGTTAGAATTATACTCTAGTACTCACTGGAAGGCATTGATTTGTGGAAAATGATAAAAATAGTATCTGTAATTTCTTTCTCTACTTGCACTTCCAGACTTGTTCCATTGTTCCCCTTCTTGAGTAAGCATGTCTTGAGCTGAAAACTTGCTGGCATATCCACTTTTTAAAATGGTTCTACTAGAGCTATGATGATTCATATTGTCAGAAAATCTGGTTGGCCTGCTTTTTAAGCCATTGTTTAATCTATTAAATCAACTTACCTGTTTTGTAAGAAAAACACAATAATTGCCTTCAGACAGAGTTATATTTACATAATACTGTACCAGATAACTTCTAAAATGCTCTGAGTGGGGAAGACAGTAGCTACAATTTCTACATTACAATCCGTTTATGTCTTTGTTACAGGTGCTACAATAAAATTTGTAACTGTTTATCTCCTGGGAATGTTTATTCCATACCTCTATATAATATACCTCATCCGGCTTGTATTTGAAATGCTAGTTCCCATTATGGGGCGCAGTGGTTCTGAAGCTCCACCAGACGTAGTCATGGGTATTTTCATCGTTGTAATGTGCATATTTCTGTCTTCCTATTTGGTAAGATAATGTTAAAAGCTTGACTACTATGTTTGAACTTATTTAATAACTTTTGAACAGTATATTTAAGTGTGTATCCCGTCAGTGTTCTCACCTGAGGGAAAAAAGGCACCATTGGCATGAAAAAAATTGCTATGAAGGAGGAAATACAATCAAAAAAGGAAAAAAAGGAATTTTTGGGGGGGTATCTGGGACGATTTTGATATGCATATCTTGCTATCTTCCATGTACACAATGAAGAAGACATAAACAGAGAGGCAATATTCCCCTTCTTATTCCAGCCACCTGCTTCTGATATTCGGAAGCAATCTTACTTTTTCAGTAAGCATGTCTATGGTTGGACTGCATATTTTATCAATTGAATCTTTCTTCTATACAATACCTAGTTAGAAATTTCCCATGGCAAAAATTTGAAATCGGGCAACACATTTGTGCTGTACTCAATTCTTTTTTAGTCATTAAAAATAATTTGTAATAATAGATTGGTTTTTCTGATGAGGTACAATTTTCCCTGGGTTGAATGAGAGCACTGTGTTAGCATTCCTTTTGCATCTGAGTATTGTCTCTTGGCTTCCCCTTTTCTCACAAAAACTAAAAGGGAAAAAGAACTCAAAGAACACAGAGAAGTCAAGCTTAAAATTTTTAGACATTTAACTGTATCTTGTAGCTTAAAATGGATAATTTTCCATTCTGTGAACTGAGGTGACCACATCCTGCAGTTCCAAATAACCATTTACAGCTCTCATTCTTCTCCATATCCTCTACCTTTTGTGAATTTTCATTTGTGCAGGGCAACTAGTGCAGTTCACAATCTATGGAATGGGCTTGGAAGTAGAAATAGATCAAAATTCTGTAATAGAAAATAAAGTTTTGTGCCTTTTTTGTTGCAAATTATACCTGCCTTCTTAATTGATCTATATTTTGTAGTTTATTTAGCACCTGCCAAGGGTACTAAATTTCGTTTCTTATGAACTATGATGTTCATAAAGGCATGTTTTGTAGAACAATAGGAAATGTGTACTTGGTTTTTTTCATCCATCTCTCAGTCAAGGGCAGCACAAAATCAAATGCCTGTGCTACATTGCGGATGGATTTGGGGAAGTCCCTAGCTTTCAACATGATCTCTGATTTGCCACAAACTTAAAAAATTAAAATTAAATTGTATAAGTGGAAAGATATGTTTTAAAGAAATAAAATGATTTATTTTTACACGTTTAACATTTATGTTTTGCTTGACACACTTGTTTTCTAGGAATAATTCAATAAAAGTAATCACTTTCTTTTATTTTCCATTTTTTCTAGCTCAGCTTTATTTATCTGTCTAGAAGCACAAAGGTGACCTTAATATCTTTGACAACCATCTTTATAGTCACATTCATCCTTGTTTGCAGTGGAATCTTCTTCCCTTTCAGTTCGGATTTGGCAGACCCAAGGCCTAAGCGAATGCTTTTTCAGGTAAAAAGTGTTTCTGAATTTGCAAGGAAACGTAAGATTTGTTTTTATTTTTTTAAGACTCTCCTTTGAAAGGATGAGTACTTTGCCGTAAATCCAGTGGTTTAAAATTCATACGTGTGCTTTATTTTCATCAACCTCATTCTCAGATGTTCTTATCTTGCACTCTTCAATATGCCATTTTACCTCAGCCTTTGGATCATGTCATCCCTGGAACTGGGAAAGAGGAAACAGAGAAATCTTCACTGATTCTGCCCAATTATTTCATGGTTTAATATAAGAGAGTGTCTTGGCAACTTGGTTCCTAATATAAAATAGGAAAAGGCAATCCAAAATCTTATAATCACAGATCTCTAGCCAGGTTGACTGATTTTTGTGAGAGTTCTATTTCTTACACAGCCACAGTTATCGATTTACAATCTGCCCCTTATGTGACATGGAAATGGTCCAGAGGAATTCAGCAGAAATTCTTGGTCTTCATCTCCAGAGGTGCCTCTGTAACAGCTGTTACATCAAACCTTTTGAAACCAACACATCTCATTAAATCCAGGAATTTAGTATCAGGGCTTGGAAAGGGTGCAGTCAAAATTCCCAAGAAAACTAATCCAAATGGTGAAATATGTGCCTAGGTTTGCCCTGAGGTTGGAGGCAAAACTTACAAAACTTGAAATAAGGACATCACTTGTATGTTCAAGTACTCACCAATAGTTCATTTCCAACTTATTGTCTGACACAGTTAACATTAATTGATAAATACGATTCTTCCTGAAAACTCTAAATTGACAAATAATTATATGAAACTGGATTTTTCAAGGGGACCCTCGTGCTCTTGGGACATGATCAGGTGATGGCAGTGCTTAAGCAAAGGATCCTTGATAGAAAACAGAATATCGTAAACTCTCAAAAGTGTAGAACTGGAACATATCAACAACGCAGGCTTCAAAGCAGCCTTTGAAATACCTAGTCAGGTTAATAAACAATACATTTCAGCCAGCAATTATGTTGTTATGTTGTCAATATTCTACTATCAGCTAGATAGAAGATTTTATTTCATTTCATATGCAGAAAGACTCCGTCCTTAAGAAGATTGGTAACATTGAAACGCAAAGTCATATTCTGTTGTAACTTTTACCATGAGTATGTTTATCATAAACTTTTACTAACATGCTTTTATTGGCAAGCTAAGATCTCAAGGTAACTCTGACTGTTGCAACATTTGTTTTTGCAACGTATAAAACTTGCTGGTTAGATGTTCAGTACAACCAAGGTGCTATGTGTTCAAATGGGTGGAATAAAACAGCAATAAACTCAGATCTGTCAAATAAATAAAAGTGTGATTTCCTAATAGGTGTGCCTTCTGGTACAGGTTATATGCATACTGTATGTTAAGTCCCTTTAAAGCAAAGTCTTGTAAAGCGATTCACATAACAATACATATAAAGCTACAACACTATGTAGACATTTAAAACAAACAATTTAATGTGGGAATATCAATCATGTAGTTCAAGTTATTTACTTCCTAATACAGCCTTTAAATCTTTTGTACATTTGAATTAATTCTGTGTTGAATTTAAAGTAATTTAAATTTACAAACTAGTTTCAGTAGCAACTTCTTGGATTGAAAAGGCATATTCCTAACCAGGTGATAAATGAGCATTTTACCATTCTGTACATTTTCTGTGTGTGTGTGTACCAGAATGTAATATAAAATATGTTATGCGCTATTTTAGGAACTGAGGATAGCAGATTGACAAATATATTATTCTGTGAAAATTGCTATTACTGTGAAAAGGGATCAAATTTTTGTAGTGATTTATGTCACTCGCTTGATTTGCCATGTCTGCTGACCTCACTGGGGCAGGTAAATCACAGTGGATAATTTTGGTTATTACGGTTTGTCACATAGTCAGATTATCATATTTATTTGCCACCCATCTCATGGTTTAAGGCAACTCTGAGCAGATTACAACAGCAGCCATTTCTGCAAAACTATATTTTAATCTTGAGTGGGCATGTTGGTGTCCAGAGTGTGCTATTACTGCTTATAACTTGATTAAACTGATAATCACCCTACTTGCTCACTCAGTAACTTCCGCTCTGACCTTTTCTTGCTTTCGTAATATTATCAGCTTCTTCAATCCAAGATGTGATCATAATTCTTTTTTCATGACTAGCAACAGTCATGATTAGTATACTGTTTACCAGGAGTGTCAAACTCAAGGCCTGGGGGCCAGATCTGGCCGTCCCTCCCGAGCTCTGTTTTCATTGGCAGAGGGTTGCAGGGGGCCGTGACAGCCAAAAATAGAGCTTGGGAGTCCATTTTCGCTGGCAGAGCACTTGGGCCACCACAGGCACCTCCAACAGGAGTGACATCAAGCTAGCCATGCCCCCCCCAGCCCCCTGAGGTCAAACACAACCCTGATGCGGCCCTCAATGAAATCAAGTTTGACATACCTGCTGATGACTATCATACAATCAGCTTTATGCCTAGTCCAACAAGCACAGTCAGATTTAATACTCATATTGCGTATTTGAGAAGTCACCCAGACGTTCATAAAGAAAGGACACCCTTTGCCCCAGTGAGCTATTTTGTATCTGCCTCATGGACAGCTGGCAAAGTCTTAGCGGCTTCTTGTCTTGTCATTTTTCCAGCATTTAAACAGAAGATTTCATAGCCTGGACGGTCACTTGGAAAAAAGTGATTCTGGAATATGGATGAATGGGATGGACTACACTGGGATATCACTCGTTACACCCCACCTGCCTGAGCTCAACGACTCTATTGCAGCCACATGTGAGGAAGGATCCCCCCTCTGTGGGTTTCCCTGGATTCTACCAGTGAACTACTTTTTTCGGTTGGTTATGATCTCACCTAATAAACCACTTAGTTTTAACAGAAGTATCAGTTGATACAATATTAGTATCTTCAAGTGAATCAGTAAACCTGTTGCACAATGCCACCAGAAGGAAACCAATTGCAAAATAATGCCCATAAAGCCGCAGTCGGACTGGAAAGAGTCTGAAAATGCAGTTTAGGATTTGTTTTGAAAATTGGGCGAAGAAGTTATATTTTTCTTTCTTCCTGTATCTTTTGCTGGACTGACAGGGCTTCCTAAAACTTCCTGCACGGGACAGGAAGGGTTTTCTGTTTTAATCCCTTTAATCTTGAAAGGCAAAACAGATCTTCAGCATGAAGGCAGCAGGCTAGAAGCAGGAGAGTGTGAGTTGTAGTCCTCTGTTAGGCACAAAGCCAGCTGGGTGATCTAGGGCCAGTGCTTCTCTCTCAACCCTAGAAGAAGGCAATGGCAACCAGTTCTGAAATTATGCCACGAAACAAAGCAGTCACAGTGGTCAACACTGACATGAAAGTACAAAAGAAGAAAAAAAGAATGTTCTGGGTGCCATGCATCAGAACTCTGGCTATTGGGAGGCTGTATGCTTTTGCACCTTTTCTATTTACGCTTAAAGAGTGGTAATGAATCCTAACGTTTTCTGAATAATCTTGGCCTCATCTGTCAGTAATACCATCAACTTATTCCTGTCTCTGTAATAGGGCCTCTTGTCATTCCGCTTTATGAAGGTTTTCAGCTTTGGGCAAAACTTTGTCCCTTTTGTCATTATTTCCTGGGGATCTGATAAACAAGGGTGGGCTTAAAAAAAAATTACAACAAACACTACTTTGACAGATTAATCCTTTTATTTTTATATTAAGATGAAAAAGGCTAATCGCTTTGATTTCTTTTGCATGTAGGGCTGTAACATTTTGCATATTCAGTAGCATTTTAGGATTTAATATACTCAGCCATATTATACTTTGTGTAACAGAATTAACCTGAAACAGTAGTTTGAAATATTTTAAAGGACTCTTACAGTAAATTACATTGATAACTTTTTTAAAAATCCCTTATTTAACAGGAAAACATGGTATCTTCCTGCACCAGCAATTACTCCCCGAAACCCTGTTCACTTTCAGCTTCTTTCCAAAGAGCAAACACAATGGGATTCTACAAAGCTAACCTTTGAAGTAATAGGTGGGTGACCATCTCATCCTTTCTTGCCTTGAGACGATTCTTATAGGGAATTATTTGATCATAACAAGAAGTTAGCTATGGCAATTTATTTAATTCATCTAATTATTTATCCAATTATGATGTAATATTAAATCTGGCACCTTCAGTCAAAGTTGTCAGAGATAGCCAATCAGTGTGAATACAGCATATCACAGATACAGCATGCATTTTACAGGCTGTACCTGAACATATTTTTGACTATGATAAGCAAAGCACTTAAGGACAGGACATGAAATAACAGGTGGAACCTATCAAAGAGAGACCTAGAATTAAAGAGAAATTTCCTGACAGTGAGAACAATTAGTCATTGGAATAGTTTGCCTCTGGAAGTTATGGGTGCTCCATCACTGGAGGTTTTTAAGATTGGACAGTCATTTGTCCAGAATGGTATAAGAATAGGGGGTTGGGCTAGAACACCTCCAAGGTCCCTTCTAGATGTATTATTCTGTATTCTGTAAATTATGCTACAAGTCACTTATGCCAGTCACTTTTCTTAGGATGCATTAAAAATTTCCTAGATGTTTTTAAAAGCATGGGTCATAAATTAATCCAGAGATTAGGAAAATATCCTTTCCATGATATTACGAAAACCTAAATAAGCAATTGGTGTATAATTTGCTTTAGATTGAAAAAAAAGTGGCAGCCCCACTATCCTTTCTTCTGAATTCATGTAGAGATTTTTGTTTATCACTTGCTTCAGGTTCAAGCCACATGGCATTTTATCTTCGACTACATCAAGGCTCAATACTGTCCACTTGGTCTCTTGGAAATGGATCGCCTCTTGTTAATAGCTTGAATGGAGACTATTTTGTGTATTATGCACGTGGGCTCCATGCCAGGCCCTGGCACTTTTGGATAGAGCTGAAGGTGAGTTTGTTCTTTAAAATCACATTCATTTCTTAGATCTCTCCTCTTGTCTTAGTTTATTAATTCATCTTCATCTTTTAAGGTTAACACACAATTGCTTTCTAGTGCTATTAATTTTAATATGCATTTTCTTTTCTTTAAGTATCCTTGACATGACAAGTTTTTATCTTTCATTTCAGGAATACGTTAAATCAAATATGCCCTTGAATATAAGATATTCAAGGGCATTAGTATAAATATTAGTATAATTGAATATGCAATTATACAACCAGCAGATAGAAATTAATCCTGTACTCCTGTATTTGCTTACTTGAAACTCACTGAACTTGCGTGGTGTTTCCAGATACTCACTTAAGATTTATAAATTATCTGTCATTGACTTACTGACCTGGTTATATTAGCAGATGCAAACAGGGTAGCATATACTGTACTATTCGTATATTACTATTGGTTACAGTAAACCAGAGAAGCAAATTAGTATTTGTCTAGAGAGAAGTTCTTGAAAGGTGTCCTTTATCTAACAGCAAAATCTCAAACTGCCTTTATGTCTATAAAATATGAGCACGTTTTCTATCTAGATATATAGAGTCTGAATTACATTTTGATGTAGAATGGTATTGGCAAAAGAAAAGCAACAGAATATCTTGATGTTTGGCTCTATATGTTTGAATTAAGGTTCACTTCCTCAGTTTTTTGAATGGGGACTAAACATATTCTACATCCTCCCGATCCATAAACTAACCTTAACCCTAACCCCAGAAAATGTAATTAACATAGCCTCAGGAATTTAATCTGTTTCTTCCATTTTATTTGCCAGGTATAGTGCAGTGGTGGGTTCCTCCCAGTTTGGCCTGGTTCAGCCGAGCCAGTAGTGGTGACGATATGACATCACCGAACCGGTTCTCCCACCCCATGTTATTCTTACCTTTTATTTGGCCCCGCCCCCAATCTATTCACTGCCTCCCGAGTCCCAGCTGATGGCTAGAAGGAAAAAACCTGTTTAAACTCTTGCTGCGGGGCTTCAAAGGGCCGCCCTACAGCTGATCAGTGTTAAAAGGCAGGGTGGTGGTAGACCGGGACGCTCGAAAAACAAATGGGTAGACCGGAATGCTCAAAAAACAAATGGGTAGACCAGGATGCTCCAAGAACAAATGGGTAGACCAGGACGCTCCAAGACTAAATGGGTAGACCAGGACACTCCAAGAATAAATGGGTAGACTGGTACAGCTCTGCAAGCAGTTAAAAGCCTGGTAGACCAGTATCTCTGCTAAATCCTAAAGAATTGTCACATGACCATCAAGCCACGCCCACAAAATAAGCCACACCCACAGAACCGGTAGTAAAAAATGTTAGAACCCACCCCTGGTATAGTGCTTATGCATCCTGCTTCAGGCTTAAATAACATTTTGTTTTGGAAACAGCCACTTTAACACCATTTCAGTGAGCATCTTGGAATTCTTTAAAACTTTGGTTTCTTTAGCTGATTATACTCTTTAGTTCATTCTTTGCAAGCTTTGAATTCTACCATTACACAGTGCTAATAAGAATAGGATTCAAATAATCAGACATGAGCTTATTTGCTTTTTTCTCTTTTTAGGGTTCGGACAAATCCACGAAAGGAATGGTCACCCTTGCTATAGTTAACCATTATTTTTTTGGAGAAGATCAAAAGTCATCTCAGTTACATGCTTTACTGGAAAGATTGCCCAACTGGATTTATCCCTTAAGCTGGACTTCTACCTATGACCAGTTTATATTTTAATCTAGAATTACAAAAAGGTCAATTGTCTCTCAATTGTTGGATGCCACTTTTGTTCGTAGGGAGCTTGGGTGAGTTGGGAAAGATGACATTCCTGACCGAAAGAAAAACTATGAGGAATAATTTAGCCACAAGTATATATTAATGGCAATATTGATAAGACCGCTTTGGGAAAGGAGGTCTTGTGTTTCTTTAATGCAAAAAAAAAAAAAAAAATCACCAGTTTCTGCCACTTGAATAGTCCCTATCTGCTGACATTATAACATGAAACTGCCTTTTGGAAAGTAGCTTTAGAACACCTGTTCTTGGCTTTTTGCAATAAAAGGAGCTTTTGCACTGGAGCTACAAGCACAAAATAACATACTTTACTGCCTTTAAATAACACAAGTGCTGCCTTGTGCTTAATATTTTGATGTGTTCTCATTGACTAAGGAATTGTTGTAATTAAGCACCGTTAAGGCTATCATGAAGAATATGGAGCTGTTAATGGTAATTGCTGCAATAATGATATTCATTTTGAATGCACTATGTAAGTAAAGCTCTTTTAATTATAATGCTAACAAACATGATGGTCAATCTCACTGAATTCTTAAGTTTGTGTGTTCTGGTTTTACTGTTTTTCCTTTTTTTTCTGAATTCTTTTATGTCTATGAAAGGAAAGTCCATATTTACCTGACTTACGGCAATTAAGCAGTATATGAGCAAAACAGTTGCCTGTTCATCCAGTGTAAGCATCTAGCACTATACTTCTAAGCAGAGTCACCTTTCTGGTCTCCTGTACACACACATATTTTGTATTTTGGTGATAATATGCCCATTAGTTAATTACTGAACTGGTTACTTACAATTATTTTTATTATTTACCTGATATTTCAGGAGAGTGTCATTTATACTCCATTGGAAGCTGCAAGTTTCTACAAAATTAGGAAAACGTATGGGGAAAATCAAGTTGCATTATTGATCCCTTGTCTATGTGTAAAAAATATTAATTACTTTTACCAAATAAATAGGAATAAATAATTCCTAAGCCGGAGGAACTGTAAAGTTGATATGAGCCTCTCTGTTGAAGAGCGCTAAGGTTTTTTGTCTTCTTTCATGGAGGCAGTAACTCTGGAGTCCTTGAGGGAACGCTCCAGGAGGTACTGAGTAGCCTGACACTCTTTCTCTGTGGCGAAGGGATTCATCCTTGGGGGAACGACATCCAACCTCCCAAATATTATCATTGTAATCTTTGCTGCTCCAGACCTGAAGACCAAATGGGCAGAGATGGATGGGGGAATTGAAGTCCCCTCTGACTGTAAATGCAGGCCGACTGCCAATCACCCAAATTTTGATATTCCAACGACAGTAGCTTCAACACCTGGTCATAATATACCATTTATTTAGCAGCACTGTAATATCCAATGGTCGCTAAATGAATGGTTGTTAAGCAAGGATCATCAAGGATCCCCTATTTTACAAATAATTTGAGAAAATAATGCTGTTATGAGGAATTCAAAGTAAAAAAAGGAGAATTGGTCATTGCTGTTCCATCCATGTTCTATAGAATAGGGATTGGATGAGGCCAAATTGGGCTCTTCCTTTTGCTGTATAGTTGCTCTTTTAGTACCTTGTATTAAGAAAACTGAACAGTGTTCAAAGATTAGAAACCTCAGGGCAGAGGGAAAATAAGTTTTAAAGTAAATCATTTTGCTAAGAGAGAAAGGAGGGATAGAAATTGGGATCTGATCTTATTGGTTAGGGGTTTCTTGAATTTTGGAAAGATACCATTTAAATCTTTATTAAAAAGTATCAAATGAAAACTACCCCAGCCATTTGATTCATTGTATTTTCTCCTCTGTGCGTCTATTTTAGAAAAACTTTTTTAAAAATAATAAATTATTTTATTGTACGGTAACTTGAAAGACAGCTTTTGCACACGGCCAGCTGGGTGACTTTGGGCTAGTTTCTCCCCGAGTCCTAGATATTGGAAACCACTTCTGAAATCTTGCCAAAAAAACGTCAGGGACTGGAAAGCATCCAAAAAATAAAATAAAAAAACTTAGGCGTGGTAAAGCAACAGAAGAGTTCCTGGTAAATGGAGCAGCTTAAGTAGTTACGGATGCAAGGTAACCACTGTTTGGGAACTGCATTGGCTGCCACTTGGCTTCTGAAGACAGTTCAGATCCCTGTTTGACCCTTTTAAAGCTCTACATGACTCAGGGACAGGAAATCTTATTCAGGTTGAATCTGATTCGTCTAGTAAGAGAGAAGGGGAGGAGGGTTTCTTATCTAGGGCAGTGTTTCTCAACCTTAGCAACTTTAAAGTGGGTGGACGTCAACTCCCAGAATTCTCTAGCAATTCCCAAGTTTGAGATATGTCAGTGATAGGTCCCCTTCTTTGTATCAGTTTAACCTGATAGCCAGACAACCCCTTACGGCATTTTCAGAGAGCTGTAAAAGCTCTTTAGAAAGGTCTTCGGAAAGGCATTTGGGAACAGGTCAGATTAGCTGCTGAGGTGAACACTGGATCGACTATATATAATTCTAGTTAATTTTTGTTTTTACATTTATTCTATCAGTGCTGTAATAACTGAGAATCACCAGAAATGTAGCTGTTATATAAATTGCAATAAGAACATCATTATAGACTGGACTGTTCTTCAATATTAAAAATTGGAAAGCCAAAATCTCAGCAATGTTCCAAGTACCATGCACAGATTTCTTCAATCTTGAGATCCTCCTTTTAGAGTTCAGTTTACATAATCTGCAGCCTTTGAGGCCATGCTATCAGGAATTTAGGAGAGTTTCTGCACTATTATTGGAGATTAAATTAAGAAAGATGATGTTAGTATTTTAAGTAAAAAAGCAATGTTATATAAGCATCTTGATTAGTGAAGCTGCAGTGGTATTTTATGCAGTTCTTGGGATTCATAATGGAATCTGTTACGTTGCTACTAGAATATCAAATCACAGGATACTGAATTGTGTTTGGCAGAAAGTGATAAACATAAAAGCAAAAGAGGTAACATCTAGTTTATAATCACTTCAAGTAAATGTGATAAAGTATTCATTGATTTGGAAGTAGCTTTTCAATATTTTCAAGTTTTAACATTTGGTATGACTGTCTAAAAATTATTTGTAGTTGTAAATCAGATAAGCATTGACTTATACTGATTCAGTTTCTTAGAATATATTGGGTAATTATAACAAGCTAGTTACAAAACCTTATGTGTTAGAAGAATGTTCCACTCCATTATGTGTGGTAGAATTTATGACTGATGAAAAAAGTGCCTTTGTCTCATAGTTGTCAATGGGATAGAAATTTAGATTATCATGTTAAAAGAGCTCAATAAATTGTCTGGGACACTCAAATGTCCAGGTGTCGTGGTTGAGTTGTGTATTTGTTCAATATGCCATTTGATCTTAATTAACCAAGAAACATAACAGGAGAATGTTGTAAAATAAGTATCAATAGGCACTTATCCAACTACATTATTTTATGTCTATAAACTGTGTGATGTATATACATACTGTACACCTAAATATCCAAGAACATATTAGAAACGTCAAGAAAACAATTTTCTTTCAAAACAATTGTGTTTGGAAGAAAAACAAAATTGACTAATTCAAGATATATGCTTTATTGTAGGTCAATAAAATGTCAACAATTTAAATAGAAAGTCAGTTATGATAAGATTCCACAATATATTAAGACCTATTAAACCAGTCATTACCTTTTAACATACAGAATTATTTCTTTCAAGAGATTAAACATTAAGGATTAATTTTTGCCATGGCTTCTATTTAAAACACTACTCTTCCTAGAAAAGGAGCTCAGGTTCATTTGCAGATAACCAGTATAAAATGAAAGGAGGTTCATGCAACTCACCAGTCTGTAGAAGCCCATTTTTCTACTGCCTGCAGTCCCATCATAATGTTCTGCAACATTTCCCCATCAACCTCTGAAGATTGCACCAGACTAAACACTTGATTGATGATGGAAGATTCTCGAAGGATTAGTCCTATAATCATGCACTAGTCCAGACATCCTGCTTCTGATTGCATTAAAATATGAGGCAACTATGGTACCAACAAAAAGACCCAAAGGCACAGAAACATGGGGTATTATCCTTGGTCTCCTTCCTCCAAGAACAACTCAAAGGAATCCCAATGACAATACAAACTCCCATCACATTTACTGCAGCTGAACATATGATTTGTGCGACCCTTTGCTGGCTAGCTCCAAAGAGATATCTTCCAATTCAGACTGCGTCCAATTCAAGGTGGAATAATTTTCATCCACCATAGTCCAGTCTCCATCCATAGAGCTTGTTTCTGTCAGATCCGTGGCAGAGCCAATGCTCCCCCTCGCCACCTGTCAAAAAAAGCAAAACAAATACGTTCTCAAAGATGTTTGAGAAAACGCTCACTGAACTTACACAAGAAGGCTGGCAGAGTGCACAGTGATTTGACCAAGAGGTTCCCTTCTATAATCACTAATAGCAAACAACTTTTCTAAAAGAAACCTGGCCCCTTTGAATTCATGTTTTATAATCAGGATTCAGGAAAGTTGGGTAACAGTGGAGTTCAGTACTCTGAGTGATTCAACACTGTCCCTGAAGCCTCTATATTAAGAGCTTCGGATCTCAGGCTCAGAGTTTCTCTGACAGTTGTGCATATTACTTAGATTAGGATGCTTTACATATGAGTTGACCACTGCCTGTCAAATCTCTTGGCACAAGGCAACAACACAAACACAATCAGTTTGGGGAAAGGGGTCCCAGGAGCTACTCTTATAATTCATCCAATGCACACCCATTAAAGGTCACTCAACTCCTTCCAATTTCTCTAGCACATCCACACAGTTGACTTGGCAAAAGTACAGAAAGTTTGCTACTGCCACCTTTTGGCCAAATATCTCCTTTACTTTATGAAACTAAAGAATATCTAGGACCTGTCAGTGTATAAGGGTTCATGAATTGAAATAGTCATAGTAACAGGTCAGCCAATGGGGACTGTTTGGTGACCCAGACAGCTTGGAGCCTGGGCGTGGTTTAGGTTCACTGATGTGTGTGTATATATATATATATGAGTGCTGGTTTTGGATTCTGCTGCATGGGTATTATATAGAAAGAAGTTTCTTATATAAATGAATCCTGCTGAATTATTTACTTGTGTGGTGATTGGATCACTGTAAACTCTAGCAGGACTAAGGCATGAAAATTATTACAGGTAATCCCTGGGTTACACGTGTTCCCTTAGCAAACATTTGAAGTTACGTGATAAGCGTTTACGAACAAGTCCAGAAATTATGAATATTGTAGCACCACAGCAGTTGTTCGCTCTTCCAAACAACTACAGAGGCTCAGCAACATTCACCCCACCTACTCCCCATCCCCTGGCCAGGACTTCATAGGCACTTCATCTGTGGAAACTCACCTTGCGAAGACCTCTCTGTTGCGCTTTCTTTGCCTGCTTCATTGCTTCAGGTTTTCGGTGCATTTGCAGAGAACAGAGGCCTAATATACTGTGAAATCACGCGAGATCTTGTGCTACTGATCTCATGTAATATCACACTTTAGGCTTCTATTCTCTGCGAATTGAGGCCTCAACATTTGCAAACGGATGGAAGGCTTCAGGCCTTCCCTCAGTTTGTCGTTTCCTTGCTGAAGCCTGCAGGGAGACTGCGTTCCTGTAGGCATGGCAGTCCTCTGCAAAAAGCTTTTGTTGACACCAGCAGAATTTGGGAGGAGAGGGCGTGTCCCTCCAAAGATCTGTTCCTACTGGCAAAGGCTTTTTGAAAAGGGCTAAAGGGACACAACCCTCAAGAGCTTTGCTGACAGGAAAGGAGGTCTGGAGGGCTGCGTCTGGCCTGCCGAGCCTCCTTTCTTGCCGGAAATCCGTTTAATGAGTTTTCATCACTGGAGGCTTCCTCAAGCAGATCTCCAGTGAGAAAGGAGACCCAGAAGGCCACGTGTGGCCCTCTGGGCCTCTTTTTTCATTGTCAGAGCCCTCATCAAGAAAGGAGGAAGCAAGCAAAGAAACAGGCTGGAGAGGAGACATATCTTCATAAGATAAATCAACCTGATGTGGCAGCATGGAGGGGAGCAATTGTGGGGACTTCAGGGGAGGGAGAATGAAGTATCTGTGGGTCGGGAGAGGCCTTGGGGGGTCTGAAGCAGTGGCCTGTTCCATCACTAGGCCCCACCCCATGGCCTTTCCCACCCTGAGATACCTCATGTACACTTAACAAGACATGCTTTTGATTAGGGAATGCGTGGGTGAAAGGAGGGAGTGATCACGTTCAAGGTACAAGATTCATTCCCACGAATCCTTGGGTTACGAATGGAATGGGTAGGCTCCATTATATTCACAACTTGAGGACTACCTGTATTACTGAAAATCTGTTACTTCTTCCATTGCTCAATAGCAGCTTACTTTCCTGATTAGGAAACTCAAAAATGTAATTATCAGAACTTTAGACAAATTTTGATTATTTCTTTGTTCAACAAAACCAAGACAAAGTAATAAACTATAGGTGAAATAATACATGTAATGTTGTAATGTAATACATTACATGTACCATATAATGGCACATATGTGGAGTTAAGCATGCTATTGCCTGTGTACAAATGGCATTTCATCTAGAAGTTTTCACCTGTTCTTCAAAAGTTGTGCATTGGTAACACATGGCCAACAAGAAGTCCCTTGGAGTTCAATAAAACTTATTCCCAGGTCAGTGAATGTAGTAATCTGCCTAAGCCTGAAACCTTCAGGCAAATGGAATATCAGTCATCGTGCTAGTCGGAAGTTAGAAGTTGGGAGTTTAATTCATCCGCACAGCACTACATTTGAGATGGTACATGGAATCACAATGTCAGAAATAGGAAAAAAGGAAGACATATAAAATTAATTTGTATTAAGTAACTATCTTGATGAAGAAACAGTTTCCAGGTAAGTACCCCCTCTTAGCAACTGGTTTGTTAGATTTGCGCAAAACAGAGATGTTAATATTGGGTAAGGAAGCAAATCATTTCTAATAAGTTAAATTGCACTTGCATCAGCTTTTCAATTGATGTTGAACATAACATCTTCAGCATCACCTACAAGGGAATGACTCTGAAGCAACTGTGATTCGCTGTATCAGAGGCAGTGAACAGGTCAAGGAGATCAAAATGTGAGATGTTTTGTTTTGGCAGCAAGATCATGATATATTTGTAAGAACAATAACATCATGTGTTAGTAGCACATTAAAACAGTGAACACAGTAGGAATTTGGAAGCAAAGTGTGAAAGAGTTTAGAATGATGAAAGGAATCAGAGTGCAGGGAGGAATCAAGAGAACATTATTAAAAGGACATTTAAGAAAATTAGTTGGGAAAGGAGAGAAATATAAGGTAAATCTCAGGATTGAGAATTTAAAATATTGGAACGAAATCCAACTAGTCGAGTTGCTACTCCATTGAAGATTTATTGACTACTATTGTTAGAGGCAAGACATAAATGTCTCTCAATATTCAGTTCCCTTCCTAAACTTGAATTTCAAACTGCCCACATGGCTGTTACCAACTAGGAGAGAGAATAAGAGCGGGTTGTGGGAAGAGATCATACTCCTTTATTTTTGCTTCTTGCAGTAGGCGGCTGATACAATTGCAGAATGGCAGTACTCTTGCCAGTAAGATTTTGAATTGCAGGAATTCTACAATACAGCCTCTATTTTCTAGTCATCCGAAAGGAGAATGTTCCCTACAGGGGTGGGTTCTACTTACCTTTACTACCGGTTCGCAGTGGGGCCGCGCACGCTCACGATGACGTCAGTGTTGGTGGGCGGAGCCGCCCGCTGGTTATACTACCGGTTCTATAGAACCGGTGCGAACCGGGGGCAACCCACCACTGGTTCCCTACTTCAAATAATTGTACCACCTCACTAGACCAGGCAGTTGTATTATTTTCAATCAACAGCAATTCCTTCCTCAATAAAGTGAATAATATACATGCTATATTAATTTCTTCCATCAGATTTTTAGGTGAAAAGTCTTTACTGCTTAATCTATTAGCTAAATTGAATCTTTTCCCATTCTCATCATTTGCTTGCTTGGAGAGAAAGCAGATGCAAAACACAAACAGGCCCTGTACTGTCTCCTAGCAACAGGAAGAATTGTGTTTAAAACTTATTTTCTGAAGTCTAGTGGAACTGTCTGTATGTGTGGATCTCATTCCATCATATAAAATAACTGTGACTTGGTTTCTCCTTTAAACTGGAGAAGACACTCCTTGTATCATCATCTGTCCCAATGAGAGAGACTATTGGACATTCCTCTTGAACTGGAGCTTTAGAAAGTGGCTCAAGTAGCCGTTTCTATGCAATTTTAGATCT